TTTTACTGTTAACGTTTAACGAACAAGAAAGAAGGCACACGTGAATTGATGGTTTAGAATTGAGCTAACCAATCAAATTGTCACAGTCCAGTTTCCGAAATCTGCTGTACATCAGTGAATGACCTCATTTTGGAAGCAATGGAATGAACCACCGGTAGCAGATCAGAGCGTGGAGCTGGATAGGAGTTGTACAAGGTTTACAGATAGACATCCAATCGCAAAGATTGTTCCAAAGATCGAACCAAGGTTAAATTGGGAGTGTTTTATGGGTGGGCTTCAAGCAACTAACTGCCCTTGTTTCAATTGCCATTCTCAACAGTCCCTTGGATTGTGCCGTCAGCTTTCGATGTAAAGGACTAACAGAGGTGCCATTATCGGACTTGTGCTAACTGACTTGTAGTAACGTCTTGGTTTAACCGTGGAATAATTTGTTCTCATTACTTTCAACTACTACTTCGATCTATTCATCTTTGGAAGGCTATTCAGGATATCTCAGTAGTAAATTTACCATGTCATAGCTGTAAAGTTCAAGTGTCGAATACAATGGATATTTCACTTGCTATCGCCTCAGTTCTGAATTCGTCACTATTCAAGACCTGATGCTCCCCTTAGACTGAAAAATATTTGGATCAGTAGACCGAACACAGTTAAGGTTGGTAGGATAGAAGGATTTCCAGTTACTTTGGCCTGAAGAGATTTTGTCGTCCGATGGTTATAATTAACTAACCGGTCACCGACAACTGGAGCAAATGAGTGCTTGAATGATGCTTGCTTGCTTGATGCTCGGAACACACTGATGACTAGCAATTAATGTAAAAGCAATTGTAGTGTGACACTATCCCTGAGCTTGATCCTTTGCTTCTGACTGCTCGACATACATTGCTACTTTCAGTACTGATGGGATGTAGCCTTTCGTATCCTGTGATGAAAACAGCATTAGTTATAGATACGCTTGGCTCTTAGGATTTCAACCAACGCTGTCTTCGGAGGTTTCTACTTGAATAAGCATAGCGATTGGTTTGACGTTTTCAAACCCATAATATTGATAATTTCCGAAGGATTCTGTGACGAAAGAGAGCCTTACCGTGCACCGTGGTCACAAGTCAACTATCAGCTTAGGCATTTTCGCGCACATACTGATTCAGTCATTCACTAGTAACCATTCATTAGGTAACTGAAAACACTATCAATATAATAAACGAGAATTTCCCGTTGAAACCAACTTGGTATGCAGAAAGGTGTATGAGTCGACCAGTCGTTTAGTTCAGGTATTATCAGCTGCTATTTTCGGTTACGTTTTAAAACAGGCAGCAACGCAATCGCATGTTAAGCGAAGTATGACCACTCGTGTATTTATATACCAGAGGCCACATGGGAAGGCCAGAAAAACGAGAATATGTTTCAAGCCATCGACTGATGGCAGATGGCTACATACAAGTTCTCTACGGTGCAGTCTCTCCTGATGAACCATGACACGCAGTTCGTCCGTTTACTTGAATCAGGTAGGGGGGAAATTTGGTTCCAGTTGCTCAAACTAGATAGATAGATAGATAGATAGATAGATAGATAGATAGATAGATAGATAGATAGATAGATAGATAGATAGATAGATAGATAGATAGATAGATAGATAGATAGATAGATAGATAGATAGATAGATAGATAGATAGATAGATAGATAGATAGATAGATAGATAGATAGATAGATAGATAGATAGATAGATAGATAGATAGATAGATAGATAGATAGATAGATAGATAGATAGATAGATAGATAGATAGATAGATAGATAGATAGATAGATAGATAGATAGATAGATAGATAGATAGATAGATAGATAGATAGATAGATAGATAGATAGATAGATAGATAGATAGATAGATAGATAGATAGATAGATAGATAGATAGATAGATAGATAGATAGATAGATAGATAGATAGATAGATAGATAGATAGATAGATAGATAGATAGATAGATAGATAGATAGATAGATAGATAGATAGATAGATAGATAGATAGATAGATAGATAGATAGATAGATAGATAGATAGATAGATAGATAGATAGATAGATAGATAGATAGATAGATAGATAGATAGATAGATAGATAGATAGATAGATAGATAGATAGATAGATAGATAGATAGATAGATAGATAGATAGATAGATAGATAGATAGATAGATAGATAGATAGATAGATAGATAGATAGATAGATAGATAGATAGATAGATAGATAGATAGATAGATAGATAGATAGATAGATAGATAGATAGATAGATAGATAGATAGATAGATAGATAGATAGATAGATAGATAGATAGATAGATAGATAGATAGATAGATAGATAGATAGATAGATAGATAGATAGATAGATAGATAGATAGATAGATAGATAGATAGATAGATAGATAGATAGATAGATAGATAGATAGATAGATAGATAGATAGATAGATAGATAGATAGATAGATAGATAGATAGATAGATAGATAGATAGATAGATAGATAGATAGATAGATAGATAGATAGATAGATAGATAGATAGATAGATAGATAGATAGATAGATAGATAGATAGATAGATAGATAGATAGATAGATAGATAGATAGATAGATAGATAGATAGATAGATAGATAGATAGATAGATAGATAGATAGATAGATAGATAGATAGATAGATAGATAGATAGATAGATAGATAGATAGATAGATAGATAGATAGATAGATAGATAGATAGATAGATAGATAGATAGATAGATAGATAGATAGATAGATAGATAGATAGATAGATAGATAGATAGATAGATAGATAGATAGATAGATAGATAGATAGATAGATAGATAGATAGATAGATAGATAGATAGATAGATAGATAGATAGATAGATAGATAGATAGATAGATAGATAGATAGATAGATAGATAGATAGATAGATAGATAGATAGATAGATAGATAGATAGATAGATAGATAGATAGATAGATAGATAGATAGATAGATAGAAGATAGGATAGATAGATAGATAGATAGATAGATAGATAGATAGATAGATAGATAGATAGATAGATAGATAGATAGATAGATAGATAATAGATAGATAGATGGATAGATGAAAACTAACGTTGCAGGAACCAGCTACGAGTCTGCATTTAATCAAAATATTCCGTTGTTTTTTCCAAGATTGTCCGATAGAAAACAAGCGTTTTCTACACCCTCTACATTGTATTTCTTGGGTATTTCTGCTAAACTTTTCTCTGGGAGAAAACACATTGTTTCCGTGATGACCATAAGTCATGAAAAATAGTTTATGAGTCGTTCCAGTCATCAGCGAGGGATAGCAAACTTCTTCCGCGACACTCAGCAATTACCGGCTACACGAAAAAGTTTCGATTGCGTTTTAATTTATGATGAAACGGAGGCGGTCAGAAGAGCTTGCTTGTCTGCAACCAGAAGCTGTCGAATGCATGCATGCACTGCGCGAGACCTTGTAACCCTTGTCGCTTACCCGGTATTTCTACTGCGCACGTATAAATATGTATATCAGGAAAGTCAGATTCCTGAAAGCAACTTCAGAACGCCCGGAACCTACTGCTCCACCAAAAACAACTAAAAAGCCGGCAAGCATCCAGGCCAATCAATCATTCAATCAATTCAGCAAGACCTGATGAGTGTTCTTGCGGCCACAGAAGCACGACCGAATGCGATCAGCGTTCAGGCTTTTCACAGAGGCACGATCGATATTGATAGGTGATCACTAACGCCTATCAGACAGCCTGGACCAATGTCAGAAGGTTCCCTTTAAATAGCGTGGGGCTGTTGTAACTTTTGCTCTCGCACTCGCTCTCTCACTTACTCGCTTGTTCGGAATACAGCTGTTGTTTTCCCTTCTGTGAGTCTTTTCTCTCCGACACTAGGCACTGGAGCGGGTCAGCAGCAGCACACACAGATTGCCGAATCAGCAGATATAACAATGTACTAAGTCTTTGTACACGCGGCAAGAGCCTTGGGTTCGCGAAGTGGAAGTTGCCCACTCAGTGCTTGAAATATGCAGGTTCATGCAGAAAGATTCCGTTATGAAAGGTAAACACATGGACACTGTGCGGTTGAGACACAGTGCTTCAGTCAGCGAAAAGTGCAGTGACTACCTTGCACCATTAAAGCTCATGTGGACTATTCAAATAACCACCGGGATTGAGAAAACTATATATCCGCTTGCAAATTGATGCGAGCAACGCCTTAGTCTAGAGGGGGATCAACCCATTGTTTATGACAAGCTTTGCTGGAGTGTATAACGCCAGTGCTGCCTTGAGATTCTTCCGGAACGTCAACCACGAGCAACGATGTTGAACCATATAGCAAAGTGTGCGAGGAATCAGACCTTCTAGGAGAGACACTTTCGGATATTTTTGGATATTTCATTCGACCAGTAAACAGCCAATTCCAAGAGACCACCATAAAATTCTCTTAGATCTTCCAGTAGGTAATAGCCCGAGCAAGCAATCAAATGAGTAGTTTCGTTACTTGTTAGGAGGTTGGCTGATTCTATTGGCCTATCTACAGTGATGGTTTTGAGCCTAGGGACAGACAGAGCCACACAGTGGTCTGTCTGAGAGGGTATGTTTTTAGCGCGATCCGTTGGATGAATTACTTGACTCTTGCTGCACTGAAAGACGCTCCGCAGGCAGGAAATAATGTCTCGTACACAATCCGTGTCATTTTTGGTGACCTTGTCCTGTTTTCAACCCTGTTAGTTGTGGCATTTTCGAAATGATGTCACCAACAAATAGTCAACAAAGTTCAACGTGTCCTATCGATTCTGATGACGAAATTTTTCGAGTTTTCACTGAACAATTTCCTCAGAAAAATTACTGTTCTGAGACTAATAGTTGTACATCGCTTACTCTGAAGCGACGTTACCCAAATAAAATTAATATGAGGCGGAAACGAATTCGGTTTTTGATAAAACGAGGAAACACGGGGGCCTGGTTTCGCTCACCTCCACCTTCAATGTGACCGAATTCAGGACATAAATAAATCGATGCGCTGCACACCAAATGTTCCCGGCCACAGCAAGCATCCTTCTGACCACGATTGGTTCTTCATTGTCTGGTTGTATTTTCAGCAGTCGGGGTGAATCAACGTCCCACAGGCCATCTAGTGAAAAAATGACAAAATTTTTCACAGGTGCACACACATTCCACGTGTGTTTTTTTTCAGGGGAAAAATTTCAACAAATTTTACTACATAATGGAACAATTAAAAAGGGCGAATTTTACACTTCAATAGTGTGCATGGTAAAACCTGGTGTTTCCGTCTCACAAGAAAGTCAAGGGCTTCATGTAAAAAATTCACGTGACTTGACTGAGCGATTTGTCAAAGATGAACTCTTCTCCTCAGGCAACTCCTCCGAAGTTACGAAGTGATCGTACAGACAACTCAATTCTTAAAAATTTTATGTAAAAGACGTTAGGTTTCAGCGTGACAGTCAGTTAAGAATATCCTTACGTGAGGTCGGGCGATAAGCTCACACAAATGTGCCAGCTAATCAATACGAAAATAACACGTTTAGAATTCAATCGATAGGTTGGCTGCACCCATAAAGGATACGGCGCGAATGCATTTAGCTTGAGTTTGGTAAGAAAGCTTCGAGCTTTTAGGATGTATTGTTGGTGAGGCGAACCATGTCGGTTTCTGAGCATGGTGAAGGAATGACTGTTTACAATGGCATCAGGTGTGAATCACACTCGAACGCCATCGGAGCGGCGAACAGTTTGTCCAGGCAAAAATACACTGGTCAACACTGACATCTGGTTGCATCCTGTTAGCCTGTACTATGGAGATTTTGAGGTCAGCTAATTCACACAATTTCTTCACTGAAGGATTAGCGCAATCATGTCAAGCCAGAAAACTTTTAAATTAAAGTCCTCCGTGTACAGCCCGTGTGATCCGTTTGGTCGGCTAGGAGCCGGGTGAATGTGAAGTTCCTAGTCCTGCTGGTTAGATGTATTCTTCATCAGCGTGTAAACGAAATTGACTGCTTTGTGTGATTTGAGTGACATGTGATAAGTGCATACCAACCTTGGAGGAAATGGTTCAAGTCGTCTAATAATAATTAATTACGCATGAGCTTGAAAAGCGGTCGAGTGCGAAATTGACGATGGATTGTCTTATGCGACGCCAATAAGTTTCGCGGAATACAGAACCGGTCCACAGTGCCTCGCGGGGGAGTTCATTGATCCGTTTTGCCATATCCTAAGGACTGGTGTTGTTCAAGCTGATCCTTAGTCAATAGGGTTGTAAAGATGTTCAAGTGGAAAATCTGAACCAAAGATATGAACCGCTGGTCTTACTTATAGACTAATAGTCAAGTCCACTTCGAATCGCACAGTTTAATGCTCATCACACCCAACGATCCCCTGATCACAGCTCGTTAAAGTAAACGTGAACTGAGTTTTTTGTATGCGAAACAAATTGTAAAGCACTCTCTTTTTAAAGGTATGCTTTATAAAAATAGCTAACCAGAAATCACCCCCTTGGTGCGCTAAGAGAGCGTCAACTCACAGACCTTCCAGGTTCAAAGTGGCTTTACAGCCGTTGCAACTGAGGCTAATGTGAAACCGAATAGGTTAATGGTTTTGTTGAAACTATCCTTAGTTTGTTGGAACAATTGTTTGCCTTTTTGAAAAAGATGCAAAAATATAGCAAGGAGATTTTACACTGTTTCAAAATCCAACTGGTATTTTCACTTTTTATCAAGGATACCGTTTTGAAACGTTCGTTTTTAGCTTTGTCGCTGTTCTATAGATTGTATAAATCTGAAGTGATTACGGAGAAAGGTTGGTTGGTAGCTAAAAATTCCCTCCTCGAAAAAATAAAAAACGCAAAACGTAATGTGGTGATTGACAGTACAGCTCCATAGGAAGAAAATGCATAAGTGGTGATACCATTTCGTCATAAGTGTGTCACGCACAGTGACAAGAAGCCGATCGGTATTCTACATTTGAAAAAGGGCCTGAAATGAACTGAGGATTATAATGCAAAAGAGAAAACATATTTCAAACTGTGTCTTTTACAGTTCAAATCCGAATAGTGGAGGTGTGTCCGATGGCAATCCTGTGTTACTGGCCCCAAAATGCTTGCATTTTCTCGGTTATCCGGCTGATAGTTATTCATTATTCGGAAAATGCATGGTTACTTCTCTCTAGGTCTTGATCACCCTCCATAATGGGCCTGACTGGTACGAACGGAATGAACTCAACGTGACACTAAGTCTGTAATTCACCCCTAAACTTCGCTTGAATGCCCGATGGACTGGTATTACGAATGGACAATGTTCAGAATGACATAAATCAATGTGAATTCCTCCTTGGTATCGCTGCGCATGTAACGATGATAAAAACTGACATCGCATGCAAAATATCCCAATGTTTTGGCTAGGATATATTTTAAAACAGAGAGAAGGATTGACACTTTATTCTTCCGACTTTGAAGTCAACAGCAGAAGTGTGTAGTGCTTGGGAATTTAGTTCAGAGTATTTAAAAAAACTTGTCTTGCACAGTAATCCACAGCAAAAAGTGTGCGAATATGTTATAGTGAAAAATGGGTAATAATTTTTTCGCATATTTACAATAAGAATGTCTTGATTTCCAAACATTGAATTCTTTGATACATATACGGTGCTCCGAGCACACCGAGCCATTGAAATCAGAAGTATCCTTATGTAAGCGACACGATTACAACACGTCTGCAGGGCGGAACTCATTTCTGGGTTTTCAACTAGATGGTTCAGTTATTAAGAGGAAGCACTATGAAATAAGTATATTGTTTTACTCAACCAGTTCACTTCCGCTCCAAATGCCTGTTGTGATAATCAGTGGACTCCTCTCAACTTGGCAAACATACAACGAGCAGCGAACAGAAAGGCGGTCATACTGAATTCCAGGGAGTGGTCATAGATCAAAGCCTCAGCACGGGGCACCAGATGCAAGGAAAACCCGTCTCCATAAAACACACTAGGCTGTCACTCAGTTAAAAAACTTTTAGGGTTGAGAAAACTCTAATCCATCGTTTAATCGTTCTAAAATAACTGTTTTACCCTAAACCTTACCTGAGTTTCTGTCGTAGACCAGGAAATCCCCATTCACACAGGCAACAAAGATTCTCACATCCAAGTGGAGAATGCTGTTGACGGCAGAAGACAAATCGACGCGCTGTCTCTGTCGGCTGGTTTTGATATTATCCGTGGCATAAAATATGAAAATACTGGAACACAAAGAGAGGGTGAACAAGGTGATTCATGAGGGTATCGATGACCCAAAGGCGACAACCATTCATTCGGTGAAAGAGACAACAACGACTTGCTTTTCGCAAAACATGATGTTGACCTCAGTTTTTTCATCACGGTGTTGAGGGAATGACAAAATTTGGTCGGTCGTAAACAGTATGAGTGCGAACGGGCATAAAGTATCGACTGATGCGCAGCTATATTTCTGACAATTTCATGTTTTTTTCAAATTAAACGGTGCAAATGTGTTTCGCTAAACATATGTCTGCACAATTTCACAAATCTGGAGTACAGAAGTACACTTGTGCCTTTTAGCTGAAGATTCTTAAAAGATTCGGTTGGTAAAGGTTTTGCTGACATTAAGTAGTTCCGACTTAAATATATGTATTTCGGATATCTGGAACTCGACAGTGTCTACCGAAGAATCACCTTCCATTGCCATCCTTTTGAATCCTGTCTTGTATGTGTTTCACCGCTTCCGTGAGTTTGATGCCCCACAGCACAGCCATTCCTTCATACATCTTTAAATAAGCTATAAAATGCGATTGTAGTAAGGGGGTGTTCGTGAAGCAAAGGGAGTCTTGCTCTAGTGCGTATCGTGCATAGCAAGCACTCTTTGGGTGAAACTCGATGGGATAAAGAAGGTTAAGAAACTGCTAAGTTGCCCAAACCTAGACAGGCGCGAACGAGCATTCGGTGTTGGGCTTGAACCGTTGACCTTATTTTCAGTACCCGATAAGCCACATTGAGCTCGGTGTACAAGTAAAGAGAGTGAGTTTACAGGAAGAAATATTATATACAGATGGAGTGTGGCCGATGTGAAATTCTTCCAGCTGCAGTGCGCGACCTAAGCTTGTGGGGATAATGGAAAGATAGGCATATGTCAATGGAAGTGACCAAAATTCATTTCTCTACTGGGCGATCAACTTTTTTTCCAACTCGGTTGGGTATATTCCAGAGGTAGGCGATGGCTAAAGAAGTTATGAAGACATACTGATCATACATGCTTGCGCAAAGCGATTTCGAGGCGTCAACGGAGTCATCTTGTTTGACAACAAATGACAAAACATCGATATATAGGGGTTGGCGATCTCGAATAACTCAATTCACATGTTTGTTATCTCTGACTGCGGTTCCCGCCCCAGTTTCTAACGCCGGCAAAAGAGCCAACGATAAGGAACACAATAGGTTTGTTGCGAACATGCGTGCGAATGCAGAACTTACGAGGAACCTCATGCTATTTGAATTTTACTTTCATCATTTCAGGCTGTTGCTGAATTGTTTGAATGCTTGATTGGCCTGGGTACTTGCCGGCTTTCCTATTGAGATTTCGGTGGAGTTTTAGGGTCTCAGTAGGTTTCGAGCTTTCTGGATTGCTCTCAGGAATCTGACCTTCCTGATAACGTTCTCTTCAGATTTGGGTTCACCAGCTTATCCCAATCAAAATTAAAAACTAAATACGCGTTGTTGAAAATAGCATAGCAAGCAAAAACCTCTAGTGAATATGTGATGACGTGAAAAACGGAAAGGCCTAAGATTTGTGAACGAAACTATTTGGGTTCGACTCGTTCACAAGGCTTTGCTCTCTTGTACTTGTTTCAAGTAAGCATAATAGAAAGATCACCAAAGGTATACAAGTTCCTAACGAGAGGAGATTCAATCACAAACCTGTCAGCCATCAAACAACTAGCCTTACTTTGAACTGCGAAGGCTGATCAGTATCGTGCTAAGCCCTTGTGGAGGCAAGTTATGTCACCTGTTTTAACGACCACAGGTGCACGACGCAGTGGACACTGGTTGCTCTAAACTACTACCTCAAGTGCTTGTTGATATTCCATCACTAGCAGACATTTCGCAGTTTCAGTTAAGTAATTTTTCACGTTTGATACCTGTTTAACTGTCACATATACGGAAAGCACTGCAATGGGTTGTTGAGCTAAAAAACCTACAGGACTTCTGACAGATGGACTTCTGACGGACCAAGAAATGATGAGCCATCCACTCGTTGGCGGGCTGAACCTTGGTTGAACAGTCAGTTCAACTTGAATGAACAGAGTAGTGTGGGTTGAAAATCTCCTTTGGTTAAACAAAACAAAAAATCCATTGTTTTGTTTTCACTTCTTGCAGTGTGAGTGACAATCAAACTACTTGTGCATTTGAAGGAAATGCAGAGTCGTACGCATACCTTGATTCGACGATTCCAAATTCCCACTTTTAATCGACTTTTCCATCCAAATGAATATTTTGGTATTGGTTTTTTTGTGGAGGTTACAACGTACCGTACTATTTGCACACGCATAAATAGTTTTTTTATGGTCAGTTCTCAAAATATTGATATGTACTTTTGCGCTGTAGCACTGTAAGTCTTTCGCGATTAAGGCAGTCTGGCATTAAGATAATCTAGTGATTTGATCTGATCGATACTAGAAGACAGAAAAGTTACTGTGCTTCCTAGGCGTTTAGATAATTTGCACCTAAATGGAGATGACAGCTTAAACAAGATATTTCAGTAGGAAAACTGGAAGTTATTTAGGCAGTCAAAGTAATATCTAGTATTCTACGTTTGTGGCGTGCTCTTCTCTGGTATGCATCGTACTTTAACAAGCGCTAGATAGAACGGCAGAAGACAAATTTTTCTATTACTCACCATCCTTCTTCCGTTCCCAGCCACATGGTTGGACGGTGAGGATCCAGAAGTCTCGGGTTCTTGTCTGTTCTTGCCGGTGCTATATAAGGTAGAAGTTTGAAAAGACACCACAAGCAAAATATCAATAAGGCTGGCAAAAATGAGTATACGAGACTATTTGCTGTATACCCTGGATACTTAATATTAAACACAAATTTCCAAGAGATGCCACTTCCATGAAGCGTCCAAAACAGCACTCCTCATTAGCGTCGGTCCTCCAAAGGAAGACCATCATAAGAAAAGGCCGAATGTCCAGTTTATTCAGTATGGTATCAGTGGGCATTTATCAGCTAGCTTAGCTAGTTGTGTCCTACTCACTGACATTCAGATAGCATCCTAAAATATTTTATAAGTCTTTTCCAACAGGTGTTGAAATTCTTCCGTGGGACACAAGTTCTCAACCTACTTAGGGAGTGGTAAAGCCAGCTGTGAGTTGCAGTAATAATAATGCGAATCACTTAAGAAGGCCAAAAACTTATCCCTGATTGAAAAAAGTTCAAACAACAGAATAAACCGTTTAAAAACCAAAAGTACAAGCCTACAAGAACGTCCAGACTATGAGAAGAATGATGGCGGTTAAACAAAGCATGCCGCAACAGCAGTGTCTTGTGAAAATGGTCTTCAACTGAAGCTTCTACTTATGTAATGCTGTGCATCAAAAACTCAAATGGTGTTTCTTCTTTCAAGGAATCCACTTTGTCTTTTTAGGGAAATCTCAAGCAACTGTTTGGAGATGACAGCATGTTTCCTAGCGCAGATCACAAAAATGAAGTAGGTTTACTTCGGACCAGTTCGAGCTAGTTGGAATAGACTTTGTTGCTTTGGTCTCCGTTTGTTTTTAAAATTCACTAACCTGGTTACTTCGCCGCTTGTCCCGATGGAGTTTTTGTGTCAGAAGCAAGACGCTGTCCAAGACTAAACTCACTGTTCAAAAACTGTTTTCGAAACAGGAAACCACGATTTTCTGATCTAACAAACTGGTCATAAGACTGCTGTTGAAGACTCTCCGACAGCTCAAGGTTGGTTTCGTCCTGCTTGGGGCTCGTCAGACCAGCACTGTCCTTAAATTTCTGTCCATCAGTTATGTGTCTCTTCCACGCGGACTCAAATTTTATGCGATTCGTTCACTGACAAACTAAGTTTCTTTTAACCTGAAACTCAACCGAACCAACTGGGATAATACACGGTGATATTTCGAGTATTCTACGAAGTGAAACATGAGGCGACCTTTGTACACAAAATCCAGTTGAGGAATACCATAAACTAGAGGTCTACCAATTTTTCAATTAAGTGTATTTTTAAAACCAAATTAGCTTGCAAATGAGTTATTTCGAGGGTGATATTTCGAGTATTCTACGAAGTGAAACATGAGGCGACCTTTGTACACAAAATCCAGTTGAGGAATACCATAAACTAGAGGTCTACCAATTTTTCAATTAAGTGTATTTTTAAAACCAAATTAGCTTGCAAATGAGTGTATTTCGAGGAAACCATATTCCTAATTGTCTTCACTCTGGAGGCATTGCAGGCAAAAGGGATTGACCTCACACTTTGCTGAATCGGTTGCCTGAAGGCCCTGTTTGTAAGCCCTCTTTCAGATTGATAGGTTAAATGACACGGCACAGAGTTGTCTCAAAAATAACCTGTTTTTGGACGGCATATTGTTTACGATCCTTCAGGGTACCGAATAACATAGGAATCCCGTTCCTAATTTGAAGGAATACTTTTTTCCACGAGTTTCTTGGACAGGTCAGTTTCATACTCGAAAATGCCACTACGAGCTGTTTTAGGCACTTTGAGAAACCATAGTTTAAATTGCATGAGAAGCTCAAGCCCCTTCACACAAACTCACTCACGATCGGACAGGATGAAATCGGTAGTGGCGTAATTCGATGTTGCCTAAGTTCGCATCTCTAGTGACCGAATCCGTCAGCCCTTAGTCTACCTAAACCATCAGCTGAGTGTTTTAACACATGGTCATTTGATGCGGTGTTTGGTCGGACACCACACCAAATCAGCTGTTTAAGGTGGTTCTTGTCACGTTGGGTCATGTGAACATTCCCAGAACATGGAGCAATTCATCCGATCGATTTCAAAATCCATACATTATATCGTGGAACTCCACGACTATACCAGTCGTAGGGTGATGACTAGATGTTAAAGAACAGCTGTTTAACTGTTCTAAAATTTTCGGAAATCAAACTCACTTTCAATTTCCACTGTGGAGTTTGGAAGATCATCGGAGTTTGATTTGGAATTCATTTGTGTATTTTGACTTGAAGTGGATGTTTCTTCTTGTACATCTTGTTCAGCCTCACTGACATCACTTGAATCCGAAGCATCAGATGCCGGGATTTCCGGATCGTTCGTTGTTGTGTCGACCGGTGCAGCTGCCACCCCCTCCACCTGATCGACTTCTGTTTTCGATGACTCAAGATTCACCGTCTGTTCTTTGAACTGGCACGGTGATGGACTGGACACCGAGGTAGATTGGTCAGGTTTGAATAAAGTCTCATCGGACGGATGTGGCGTAGCTAATATTCCCGCGTTGTCCAGATCCATTTGTAGACTCTCTTTAGCGATGGGCGTATCGGGTGGTGTAGGTTCAGCAGATGGAAGGTGGATAGTTGTGTCCTCTACTCCCGGTTGATTCTCCATCAATGCTTCGGTTTTCGTGTCTGTCGAACTGAGACTTGAAATATCAGTGAACGACTCGTCGGTTGATTTGGAGGCAAACTGTCGAAACGGATGCACAGATTTAGTCTGTTTGGCTAAACTTTGACTTTCTGCAGTTCCCTCTAGGCCATCCTCTGACTTTGACAGAGTCATCCGTTGCCGTAATAGACGCGCCTTTTCTCCGGCCGTACGGTGTTGTCCACTAGCTCCAGCGATATTGCCCGATAGCCTGTAAGAAGAACATGGTTGTCGCGATGATGGTATCCAAAAGTTGTATACTTTCACATATAAAAAATGAAACCGTATAGTCTCATGTAGTTTTAGGCATACTTTTCAAGTATATTTTGATGGATTGAGAGTTGCATGTGTGAATAAGCCACGGCAGTCTATTAGAGACAGAGAGGGAGTACAATTCGCCAACCTGTATTTCCTCACTAATTAAGATAGGGTTAGACATGTTTTTCATCGTCCCGAAAGCTACTGCCGTCCTTTAATTAGCCAGTAGGACCAGTTCTTGAACTGTTGAATTCTTTCCTTTACGCATCACTCTGAAGAACGTAAAATCATTTGGACCAGTTTAAGTTCATCCTCGTAGTAGGTCCTCACTTACAAAGATGAACATTGTGTGTGCTTGGGTTACCACGCTCATCCAAAGGTGGGATAAATAAAGCTTTTTGTGCCGCTATAGTCACCTGAAATAACATTGACGTTTGGTGACCTGTTCGATACCACAGTGTGTTGACTTCGTCCCTGGTCGCCCGTTCTCGGTAACCAGCACATCAACGGATACCTCACCTAGAATAAAATCTGACTGTAGTGAAACAAACTAAGTCGCACTACCATACGATATCACATCATGAGCACGTCATGGAACAACCTAGTTGGGTATGACAGTTTACCATTGAGTTTTTATTGTCGACTCCACCTAGCTTATCCAGTTTCGCTTCTACTGTTCACCTAGAGCTTCACTGACATAGCATGACATGGTAAGTCGAATAAACCACACCACGATAGTATGACAGAAAAAGAGAGACAGGTATCAGATATCTAAAATTCATCATAGCCTGCGATTACTCACCTAGATAAACAGGCTTCTCTTAAGCACGAAAATGCACCAAAGAAGTTCTTCACTCGGGAGAACTTTTGCCTCCTGTTCGTCTTCAAAGATTTAGTGTGCCAGGCTGTTCGGGGTAATTAGCTGTGCACCACCAAACAGGCTTTTTCAATTTTCCTATCATTATTCAACTGCTGATATACATGAGCAGGAATAAATGGACAAGAGACATCTTTGTCTGACGTTTCATGGAAGATTTCTCGTGTGCCCTGTGAGCATGTGCATACGTAGAATGAATCACGTTTAGGAACTAACTAGACATTTTCAGGCACACAAGCGTGATGAAACAAACTGATTAACTGAGAGAGCCACACAACGCCTTGAGGTCGAAGGACATCGAGACTGTTAGTCACATGCGAATATAATACCACTATAACAACGGGCGAAGTGTACAGGTCTAGTCAACATAGCGTCTAATTTCCTGTTGTAGTTCACCTTTAAACGATATTAGATCAGTGGTGTTAGAAGTGTCGATACAGCGGAAAACCGTGTGCCTACGCATATTCACTGTAACTACTCCAGAAAAAGCTCCAGTATCCTGAAAGTATTAATACATTAATATATGTTAATATAATAAGCGTTCATGCAATATATTCAGGTGAACTTTTGTACGAACAAGAGATTCAGCTGACATTCGATTATCTCCCGTTAAAATCGAATGTATTTCATGTTAATTTCAATATACAGGCTTTACGAACATTTCAGAGTGCTTTGCAATTGCGTTTTTTCATTAACAGTAACCTCCAAAATTAACCGGAACATTTGAAATTACCTGTCTTATCAAAGTAAAGCGAGTTTAAGAGGCCCCAAGCAGTCGTGCCAAATTAGTACTTCTGCAAGATTTCTATCGCGCGAAGGTGAAACCTCGGATGATAATTTCGAATCATGATAATTTTCCACTTGTGTACACTGAACAATGCCGGTCTGACTTCGTTGAATGTCCCTTCTTCTGCTTTTACCGGGCTGCGTGAAAATCAGCGACATTTATTCATAAAGGAAGCTACTCACAAGTTTTCTGAAAACTCTTCGACAACCCACGACCGGTTTCGCCCTTCTTGGGGCTCATCAAGTAGGCGCAGTCCCCGAGTTTCCGTCAACCTTATGTTCTACTTGTGAGTAGTTTCCTTTATGAAAATATACTGCGATATCTCGAATATCGTGTCAACTAAAACATGAGGCGCCCTGTTTGCAGCACATTCGGTTGTAGAATATCATAAACGAGAGTTTCAGTTGAGTCTGTCGTGAAAACCAAATTGATTTGCAAATGAGTGTATTTCTCGAAATCAGAGACAGTGTTTCCGTCCGTCTTTAAAGGGTTCAACACTCTACCTCCGAACACACGAGGAAGTGGTCTCGGGCAAACTTAAACAGAAGCACATAATCGCATCATGGCAAATCATGCAGTTGGTACGTGGCCTGTGATTAAAACATCCTCTGTTTGTATAGCCGCGCTATAGGCTCTGGGTAAAAGATTCACTTTGTCCCTCCATTCGGCTTACATACACATCCCAGCGAGGTCCTGCAGGGTGAATGAGCCACCAGTGTGCACGTGGTTAGAATCATTACCAGAAGGCGCAGAAGGCTGCGTGCGCCAGCTGGCGTTAGCATGACCACAACTATTCCCTCGAATAAGACCCTACAGTAAGTCCTGGGCTATCTGCCCTGAACTTCTGTGTAATTAAAACTCAAACAAAACTTTGTGCATTGAGTGTGCAAATGTGTAAGCCGCAAGTTTTGTACTATTTGGGTAAATATAGGGTCCAAAGAAGATAGAACCTCGAGAATTTCGCCTTGCTGATGAGCCCCAGAAAGGGCGAATCCACCGTGGGCTGCCGAAGAGTTTAAAGCAACCTTATGAATAGTCTCCTTCTGCCTGATTACTTCAGATTTTCGAAGCTCCTATTTCTTAAAGTGTGTAAGCTTTCTGGGCGACAGGAAGTCGTGAGAGCCTTTATTTTTGGGCTCAAAACCAGGCAGTCAGGTTACTCAGTTAATCTAGGTTGTCAAAACCTATGACCAAGTTGTTTGTAATTTGGAAGAAATAATCCTCTGACTATTTTTCTGTAAACAGAAACTAGGAGACAAATCACCTGGAAGCATTAGTATTCTGCGATTCAAGCAGAACGAACGTATTCGAATTCTCCGATCTGGGGATCTTTCAGATCTAGAAGAAAACCGCCCTAAGTTCAAATGTCATGTGCTGTACAGGGTCGATATAGAATAATCTTTCAGATCTAGAAGAAAACCGCCCTAAGTTCAAATGTCATGTGCTGTACAGGGTCGTATATAGAATAAAATATTTCACAAGGAAAACACGCTCAGACAACGCACTATATCGGTCCAAAGACCCGAATGAACCGTTCGGCTAGCCGGCATTCTGAAGATTGTGCTAGTTTCTATCTCGTACGACGGAGTATGCTTCTGTTGTGGATTCGATGTTAAGCGAGTCTATAACATGTCAAATAATTGACGCACAGGATTTTCCAGGTCACTCTCAATGAACTTGAGAATATCACCTCACGGATAGCATGTTATTACCTTGTTCTGTTGGTATTCTGCGGTTCTACATGAGGCGTTAAAGACGAAGCGAGGTAAACTCCCACTTTACTAAGATGAGTAAATATGAATCTTGGATGGTGTTAGGAATATTTCACGCTCATATGTGAATTATTAGTAGGTTTTGCCGTTCCATACTGAAAACCTTAAGGGACACTGAAAGCACTTCACGGAGGTTGCATCAAGTCGATAGTTGCTCATTAAGGAGGAACCATCTTGATTAATACTAACCGGAAATTTACTCTCAGTACCTCTCTCTCTCTCCAGTTTTCTTTAGAACGGCCTGAAATGCTCTTTTTGTGGGGCACAGTAACAGCTGGTGTGAAAAGTTTGGTGATCCGGTGAGAAAAAAAGACTGTCCACACTCTGGCTACAACGAGATCAACGGCCATCTGGACGATGAACACTCGATATGGTTCCAGAGTATGGTTGAGGGCGGTTAGGGCGTAACCGCACTTCGAAACTTTTATTATTAAAACGCCTTTAATACGCATCACAGAAGAGTTGTGGCTCCTTAGTCACTGCGGAACGGCTGGAAATAAAAAGTGCATCACCCTTCAGTGGAAATCGTGACATGTTGGCAAGCCATTCAGCTTGTTCAGGTGTCCACAGGTTCTTCCCATGGACATTATCATCATCATTATCCCGCGGACAAAATAAAACGGATCGGGCTTCTGACAACAGTTGTCATACCAAAACTAGCAGGAAATTAAATAAATACACAATTTAACCTGCTGACAGTGAGGAAGTATTTGAGATTATTTGAAGGAAAACTCATTCTGCAAATGAAGGCAGCTTATACTGAAAAGGTGACAAAGACTTGAGAGCTGTCTCATTCTTCGTGGAGTCCAGCAGCTGCGCATCTTTCACTAGTCTCGAATCCGCGTCTTCTAGGCGACATCTTGCCCACAATCTATAAGTGGCACAAGCTGTACAGCCGTCGGCGAGAGAGTTGTCCTTGGTGGGCAAAAATGGACACAAACGAAAAATAATGCACCGTTTCGACTCCAACCTACCGCTTGAAGAGCTCGGATCGATAGCTGAGACAAACTCAGATGCCTGTTACATTCTGAGTCCCGAGCACCGCGGTCATTTTTCAAGTAATCCACCCCACCTTTGGCTTCCACCTCAACTGGAGACTGGTGATTGACATACAACAAAGTGAGGTTAGAATTCAGAAAGCGAAATCAAATAACAACCACATATGAATACGGGGAAATTCTTACCGCCTGGATGTTAGGGGTGTGCATCCTGGTACAGCACAAACACAGGTGATTCTGGAGTTACAGCCAGACAAAGGAACGTTCAGATTGATCATCGGTTTCGGATGCAGGGATAAAAGGCAAATATACCCGGTGTACCCATCCACCGCGCAGATCCAGACTTCCTGAGGACTGGTTTTTGTGAGGGGAACCACTTCTACCACTGCAGCACATGATAACTGGATGGAGAAAAAATAGGGGAAAGATGATCACCCGATATTACAGAGGAACTTGGCGGACAAATTCAGTGTCTGAATCGGAAACCTAAACAAAGTTTTGTCTTTTTCCGACGCGCATTCTCAGATATCAACCTGACGTATTTTGGATGAACGTTCACAATTAGAGTAGTACGGTGGACACAAATCTAATGGGTTCAGTTGGGATTCAATTGCCAACGTTGTTGCTGTTTACCCATCAGCATGCCGGTTGTTACTCTGTGCTCTGCAACATCGGATTAGGGATGTGGACTAACACCGATAATTTTTGAGATTCGACAGTTTGCCCCAAAAGCGCTGAACTGTGCGTTGAATGAAGAAGGTGTTACCACGGTAGCAAGTTGATACCGAAGCACTAGATATAACTAATCAACCTCTCTATGTCCTCAACAAGCCTGATTAGAAAACAATTTGTTCTCTCTCTTAACGCGGCCTGAATGATGGCAGTAACATAAGGACATGTGGCCAATTTCGGAAATGTTTGGAAAGCAATCAGTGGATGCACTGCTGTGCAGCTTCGAATCTGGACAGATAGATTCGGCAAGGGGACTGGGTAAGTCATCAAACTGATCAAATTTAAAGGTAGACCGCAGTGACAAGACACTGACTGCATGGTACAAACTACACGGTACAGACCAGAAAAGTATAAGAATTTTGAGCTGTGGACTTCATGTTGAGTCGAAAGAAACCTTCAAGCATCTCAGTGAGCGGTTTGTGGACAACTGTTTTAGGTCGCCTAAGCTGACCCATAGTGGTGTGCTTTTTCCAGTGAAGAAAAGTCCTTAACGGAAGTGAGTGGATGTACAGTGCGAAATCTAAACTGCCGAAATCCGCATATCATCTTTGATTCAACCTAGTCGTTTTACTATTTATTGGCCCGAAAATACCAACAAAATTTTGTAGACGACATCAAAGAAGCACTGTTAACTAAATAGCCCTAAAACGAAAGGACAAATTCCAACATCCAACTCAGAATGATATCAACTTCTCCCCCATTTTTCTGACCCATAGGTCGTACGACTGGGTCCCCCACAAACACCACGAACAACCTCCAAGCAATGAGCAACACTGACTGTTAGTTGCAAAGGATATCACTGTTTGGTGCTCCGTCTAATTCTAAAGTCGATTGGTCTAGTGACATAATCCAAATCGGAACGCTGACCACTAGGTTTTTCCCAATGCTTTTTAAAACGACAAGTTTTCACGATCAGCTCTAAATAACTGACTGGAGTTGAAACAAAAGGACGAAACCTAGTGATTTGTTGTGATAATGGAGTAGCTGTTCTAATGTTTTTGTCGCTTCACAAAGTTGAGGTATTTTCTAGTCTGGTTTGGATTACTGGTGAGCCCTTGATGGCAGAATGTACAGACACTACCGAATTGGGTCGTTCTCAAGCACACTACGATTTTCGGAGGAGTATTCCATGGAAGGCTATTTTGTCGTTGTTGTCGCCACTGTTTTTCTCAAAATATTCTGATCAATCGACGGTTTTGGAGGATTGACTCCTGAACCAAAAACAACAATCCAAGTTTTGTTACTTTCTTCCACACGTGTTCACGCAACCAGGACATCTAATTTCATTTTGTCTGAGTATCAGCGAATACTCCAAACCTATTATTTTCTGGTAATTCATGACAATCTTGAGAGCCTACGTGGAAAGTTTGTGGAACGTTTATTCTAATCATTTCCCCTCTTGCCTGCGGAAACAAAAACAGAGAAGTTGGCTCAGTCTAGATGATGGACATTGATAGGGTGTGGCCCAGTGATTTACCAGAAGAAGCAAAATCATACAATTTTACACAATTTCTCCGTTACAAGTAAATCAATACTATCAGGCTTGTCAGAATCCCGGTGCGCTCCATAATTCAAAGGCTGCACTGTTAACGAACGCTTTTGTGTCAAGTCCGTTGGTTTGTAGGAGTTTGGTCAGGTGACAGATGATGTTGTAAGTACTGCATAGCGAAGATACGGTTACCAAATTGGATAAATAACCAAACAACTATACTGGACGATCATACATGTTTCCCACTTAGAAGAACTAGTTAAAATGTTTCGGAGAACATCTCTGCAGGTAACATCTCAATAAGACATTGTAACAACACACGAAATGTACACAAAGTATTTGCCCGTTTAGAAGGCGTACTTGAATTCCTGATAAAGTGCGAGGTATTTCTAACGCTCCATAGAACCGGGACGTTCGTTTGACAGAACCTGGAGAATGGCATGATAAGAGATGGAAACAGGACATGTAGCATGATACCAAGGTCATTGAATACAAATAGGTCAGGTTCAGTTTCCTCCCGGGTTTGTGATACCACAGAGATACGAAAATCAGTAGAGGAGCTCCATTATCTACTCCGATTTTAGGCTTCAAATAAAACTACAGAGATGCGCAAGCCTACAATGATATAGCCACTGATGATTGAAGAAAGTCTTCCATGTACATGCAGTGCTTTTGGTTTTCACTGTATACACCCGCTTTCCTTTCGAACTGGGCACCTACAGGCCGTGAATCCGGCGATTTGCAAAATCTGAGAAAACTAGAGGAAAAGCCTTAAGAAAATCATTTATTTCAGAATCAATTGCTTCATAGTGAAGTGTGCCGCATGAACATGCGTGCGGATCTGGAAAAAGTTCCAGGCAGCAGCGATAGGAACCTATCTGGACCTTTGCGCCATTTCCCATATCAATAGACCGACAAATCCGTTTTCATGCATCACCGGTAAACGAAGCATCAAATTTACAAACAACCAGTTTCGTCACAGTTGGACGAAGTGTGTTCTCAGGTGGGCATCAGATACCAAGGAATTCGCTGACCACTGATATAGTCAAGCTTTCGTCTTCAAAGTGCAACTTCTCTTGCTCTGGCACCTAAACGAAGCATTCCATTAAATCTCCCTGTGACCCCGAATTGACACTGGTCTCTTCTGAACGATGAACAACTGATCCAGTCGTAAATTTCGCGAACGATCCAATCCTCATCTTGATGATGTAGACGCACGAAGGCGCTGTAAACATGACCGCCTGAACTCTACTCACATCAGATAAAAGTACACTCTGTAATGCCTATATAAACCGCGGAAAAAGGAAGAGATAAGATTCATTTCTGGTCATAGGCCTCATTTTTGAGTGTTAAATGTGAAATAGAAATTATGGAGATTAGGAAGCCGATGGGCATTTAGTGGCAATTTTGCGAATGGCTATGTATAAGTAGTAAAAATATCTCTTAGTTTTCACACAATCATGCTTTTACGAAATGGTCTTCGAAATTTTTATAAAACAAATTTACAATAGGTGATCTTGCTGTTGATTTGCATTTCAATTTTCTACAGTATCTTCCCTAAAGATTTCAAAGAACACTAGAGTTGTAAAACTTTCACGAACGGTTTGTAAGGCCACAGGATTACATTTGGAATAGTATGGGGCTCTGTATCACAAAATACTCGTCCTCTTTCCTCTTCAGATTGGTTTCACCCGAATACTTCAACTAAGTAATTTTGAATTACTAGTATTCAAGAACATTCTGAACGTTTTCTCCCACGTTTTACAACAAATCTGAACAGCAGGCCGATCAAAAATTGTCGCCGCATCGTTGAGAGGAAGCCATAAAACTGTAGGCTCTTTAGCGAGAAAAAATACAAAACGCGCCGATTGTTTCGTTATCTCTAAACGCATCTGGGATTAATATCAAACAATTGCAGGTTGATGTATAACAAACACATGTGGGTAGTTAGCGAATCGGTTGCGTCCGAAAGCACCTGTGTTTGAACCCATGTTTATTGCTATCTGAATCATTTGGTTTAATTACAGTGCATCGCACAGATCTTCTGCTTAGAGGCATAGTTTTGTTTCCGTACGCCAAACCAAAAGGGAGTTTGCGTCGATTGATGACTCACTCACCACGGGCTGTTTGGGTCTATTAGTCATTCGAAAATGTTTTCACTTGGCTCGATGTGAATATGTGAACGACGTAAATCGATGGCTGGTTGCCAACCCCACAATAAGTTCGCAAGAGAAATTTGTATCAGATCTGGCCGCGGCGGCTAAGGCTAGCGGTTCTCAGGGCTACAGAGATGCGAGCCATGAATTTTCAGTCTGGTTGACAATTTTACACCCCACTGTAGGTGTTTATGCAACCGAATGATAACCCTGTTCACTGTGTTGTTTGTTCTAACCAGCAGCAAACTACACCAAGCAATCTAACTGCGTGTAGAATGTCGAATTTCAGTTATCAATTCCAGTCGACAAACAAACCCAAATTAAGCTGAAAGGGCGTTAAGCACTGTTTGGCTTTGGGTCAACAGGTGGGCTTATTCTACAAATTTCTAGTACGGTGTTTCTCATAGGTGATCATGTTGGTGTGCAGGGGATGATACGCATCTGTTTGTGTTCAGTCGGCTCTGTTTATCGAAATACTGATTTCGATTGCTGTGACCATCCATTCAGACAGTCCCATCTGCAGAAGTGTTTACGACATCATCCACAAAAACCTTATCTCACAATAACGAAACTCTGGATCCTAGATGTGCGTTTGCCAGCATATTGCTCCTTAAGTTAGCATCTGAAGTTGCTTAGGAAAGTAAACCTAAGTGAGACCATATGTATTACATCCCATCACGTTAAACTGAAAACCAGGCCAGATTAGCCGATCAAGTAACTTTGAGCTAAGACTCGTCTTAGAACGACTGTGAACAGTTGCGATTGCAGAGAGAAACATGCTCATTGCTCATTACGATCGTCCAAATTTCCAAACAGGATCCACAGTTTTCAGCCTGAGAATCCCAGGGGTTTGGTGCGACAATCCGTTGACGTCAAACCACCCAGATTAGTCTACCTTACTGTGTACAAATCTGCCCAGAGAGAGAGAGAGAGAGACAGAGCTATACGTGGAAAGAAGATCCTAAGCTCCTATCAGATAGTTATCTCTCTTCGGACGAATCTCACACACCAACGAAGCAAATTATCATTGTTCGTATGTTCCCATGATCTTCTACACATGCTCTGTCCTCCTTCAACCACCCATATAGTGTGGTGAAGCAACTCGTCGTAAATCGGAAGGCTGGTGTGCTTTGAACTGAAATACCTGAAAGAGAGAGGATGGAAGCCGCAAATTTTTCTGAAAATTTTCTACAAGTCAGTGAAATATAACCTAAAATCACAAATCCCACTTCGTACTACTTGATAACCACCCTAACTAGTCGGCTACTATCGTTAGAGCTCAACGCTGAGCGTATTCTAGGGCGTATTTGGAGACGTTGGCGCTCACAAATCCGAGCCAAATGAATCGTTCTCTCCGTTTTGGAGCTCATCAAGCAGCCACATATGAATAGCTTAAAGCACTTGCTGGACAGTACAGTTCTTCTGTAACTACTGAAAGGCTAAGTTTAAATATTTTATCTGCCAACTTACTCAGCTGCCGTTTCAACTCCATCACCGTACGTTCCCATTCCTTCCGCTTTGCGTGAGTGGGGAATGTAAGCTCATAGCGTTCGATACCTTCTCTGAAGTGGAGGAACATAATCAAGTGAAAGATGAAGTTGTTTCAGTGGTATAGCGTTACTGATGAAGTGGGTTAAAACTCTTGGTAGCTCGCTACTTGTCTCACCCTTCGTGAGGTGCATCACGTTCGTAGGATAAAAAGCACATTCAAAAATCGGGACCGCGTTAACCCAAAGCAGCTAAATCTATCCTACCCAACGTTTCCTGAATGAATGTGACCGAGAAAAAACGAGAGATTCAGTTGAGTCTCTCATGTAAACCAAACTGATTTGCAACTGAGTGTATTTCTTGAAAACAATTCAATTTGGGTTCAAGTAGAACAAAAGCTTGACGGAAACTCGGGGACTGTGCCTACCTGATGAGCCCCAAGAAGGGCGAAACCGGTCGCAGGCTGTCGAAGAATTTTCAGCAACCTTGTGAGTAGTTTCTTTTATGACGGAGAATACTTATTAAAGAAACTGAGTTGTGCATGACGTCAACACCAACCCAGGTTCCAAAAGAGTATTTAATCCAAAATGAGGCTATTTTTTATTCTTTTGCTGAATTTCTGTACACGTGGTCAACTTTATCAATTTTAACATGATATACTGAGAATTTGTCCAAAGGAGCTGAAGCTTGGAAGAATTAATGGATTATGCAAGCATCTTGGTGTGAAAGAACTAATCCCAATGATGATTTCCTTACCATGATGTGTGGACTCTCAGCAGATTTCTGCTTGTCGGATACACATCAGTACCAAGAGTTTGCAAGCACTACCTTACTGGGATCCGCGCAAATCGTCTGCAGCTGCCCGACTATTTGTATTCATGACCACTGTTGAACTACTAATCCATTTCGGACACCAGGCATTCATACCACATGATAACTAGGCTTGGGGCGAAGTCTCACGGGCTCAATATGTACTGTCGTTTTGCCAAGGTTGACTCTTTGGAGCGTTAAACATTGTGCTTGAAAGAGTTGTACCTAGTGAGAAATCTGAGTTGAACTGTTTGATGTCTTCAGACAAATTTTTTTCAAAATGAGTTCCAGATGGAGGAGGTGGAAGAAGTTGGAGGTGTGAGAAGTTGCTTCGTAGAAAAGAGCTGAATGTGCATACAGTGTACCTCAAATGTAAATTTTCATTTGCTTGTTCAAAGCAGCTATACAGTCACTCCCTGTACGGCTGCCTCAGTTACGGCACCCTTATAGAGAAGGGTTTGTGAAAAGGGCTGTTCACTAAGTACTGTTTTTAAGCGAAACCGCGCTAATTATCACCAGCAAATGCCAGTAGACATTGTTTGTTGTACTCACATCTGTTCAATGAGTACTTGTTAGTTTCCCCATGTTCCTCAACTCCAGAGAACTCAGCACAAATTTAGGAATGGGTTTGTACGATTTTCATAAGCGTCTGACAGTTCATTGATTTCAGACCTTTGTTGTGTTTATCTATTACCAGTCTGCGTGAAGTCTCTCAGCTACCGTCCGTACTTTGCGCTTACGACTGATCATCCAACTGCTGCCATTTGATGCCACCTGTTCCCCCGAAAACCAGACTGGCTGTCATTCACCAATTGTGGTAGCGCAGAAGCCGCACATATATCATATTTTTTCAATGGCATTTCAGTCAAAATACTCGAAAGAAAGACCTTTTAAGGACAAAACGTGACGTTTGGAGTCTGAATACGTGGACTTAAGCCAAATACAAATCCATTGGTCTGAAATTTGTTTATCTAAATTAAGGTGCGTGGTCACTTTGCTATACAATCGTCTTGATCCATATACTTGAGGAATGCAGCCATCCGAAAGCGTGAGGACGATTAATTAGTTGGAAGAACCCAAAAATGTTTGATATTATGCAAATCGCCACTATGAACAAAATCGAGGGGAAACACCAAATCGAAAAGCAGTGAGGCGTGAGTCTATTGTCTGACCGTTGACTTGATGGACAGCGTTTCCGTTCTTTCGATTTGGTTTTGATAGTTCCAGTGGAATTAGTTCGAATGCGCAAGCTCACACTACGATAAGAACTGAGGAATTTCCAGGGTCATTTATCGGCAGTTTTTGACACATCAGCCTTCGATGAAAGACTACATTTATTTCTAAGTCAGTTTGAGGATATTATCATGCGCATAGCACGTCAAAACCATCATCTATTTGTTCAGTTTTAACACGACCAGTAACTCAGTCGCCATGGTAAGGTGACCGTTGGCTTGCGAAAGTTTCGTCACCAACAGAGGCTACACCAGCAGTGCATGGTGATGTCAGCCCGATCGGTGACGAAATATTTGCAAGCCGAGCCGATTGGGAGCCATTTGATCACCAATGAACGCATGTGAGCCGTCAATATCCCGGTATATGTACAGAAGACTGTAGCATGCTTTGGAAGATTACGAGTTTTCGGTTTCCTCCGAGAATGGTCCTTATAAGAAGGAACAGTTGTTTACGAAGTTAACGGGAATACACGGAAACAGTTGTATGTAGGGTGTGGATGCGCTTCACCGGAACACAAGGCAGACCATTGTTATTTGTTTGCGTGGTAACCAACAGTGACCGAATGTCATAAACCGGAACGAGTCGTCACCGAGACTGCACTAGACATTGGGCAATTTTAGTTGGCATATTTTGCTAGAAAGACGGGATACTCAGGAAGACACACATAAGTTCGCTGAAAATACTTAAAAAACCTGCAACCGCTTTTACCATTCCTGAGGTTCATCAGAGGGGCACAATCCCCGAGGTTTCATCAATCTCAGAGCTCGAATTGCTCATAATTCACCAAGTACACCAGGTTGGCTTTTGGCATGACACTCAATTGAGTAAACAACACCACTTGAGACAGTTGGGACGAGTAATCATTGATCGGAAAAACTGTTCACCCGAAGCCGCACTACATGTTCGACAATCTTGGTGAGTATATTTTACTCCAAAAAAAAACAAGACCAGTGTTACTAGTTTATAAAGTATGTGACAGTTGGTTGATTGAAGCTTTGATGTCAGAAAGGAAACTACAACTAATGCAAAGCGATTGCCCTTGTGGACTAACCATAAGACTGGTAGATTACTCAACACTAAAATAGACTTCTCTCAATAGAAAATATGCGCAGTTCTAGAATTAGGCAGTAAGCGCGTGATTAAGGCAACCAACTGCGCTCGTCGTCTTGATGGATATAGCAGGGTCATTCGTTCGACCGTTCGTGGCGAAGGGATCAGAAACAACTCGCAATGGGTTGGTTTTTGGAAAAAAGCAACTCTTGTCCTTATAAATAGCATAGTAAAATTCGTAAGTTGTCAGCTTTTGTACAAAATTTGTGAAAATTTGAGAGCAAAAACTTGAGATAACTCAGATATCTCGACTTTCTGATAGGTTAGTTATTTAGCTGTCTGCAATCGCTGAACAGATGGGATACTTTAGGGCAAACTACTGTTTCTTCCCTGATATCAAGATTGACTGTTTCTCTAATATTACGAATCTGATTAAAATTCCGATAACAATCGTATCAGCATAGAAAATATGGACAACAGTCTTGTCTTTGCCAACGTCGAAGAAGACTTGGATTTTAGTTACAGCGTAGTTGTCTACCTATTCACCTGTATATGTAAATCATTTATCACTAATCGGCATCAAGTGTCGACAAATTATTAGATGTAGTTTGATTGGAAACTCATTCTGCATGACAAGTCATTGGCTGGATTAGTTGAGCTGCTCACTTAGCTTCACCAAACCAGAACTCAGCAACTCGACTCACGAGGACAGGTAAACATTAGTTGTAGGTACTTGTGACCATTGATGTCCATTGATTTTGTTTAAGAAAATAGTGAATAAAACACGTAAGAGTGGGAAACCTGCCCAACTGATTCCATCTACACTTGAGGAGAAAAATCTACTTTCTGTGGCTTTGTCCACAGAACAACAGTTGGAAGAAAACATTGGGAATAAAACCCGGGTCACGTGTGCATTGGTTAGCAACCACTATGTGAATAGTTACTTACGGTTTACACCCAGTGAGAAGACAGCGCTACAGTGAATGAGTTGAAGTTACACTAAAAGATTCCAGATTTGCACACTCTAGACCATAACTCGAACTGAACTGGGGTTATTTTCATACATAGTTTAGGAACAGAACACACTCAGCTGTCAAAGGCATTTGAGTAATATCCCCCGGTTTGGTAATACGTTAGTCAGATTTCAAAAAGCGTCCCTACTGGGTTCCTTCAGGTGCTCAACAATTCCACGCTATTTTTCAAAGAACTAGTCGCGCGCCAACCTTTTTACACAACCGGAGAGTTTCACCTGCATTTGAAGATTCGGCGGTAACCAGCAACTCACTTGAACGCTGGCGAATACTCAAAATGTTTTATTTGATCCATCGTGGATTTTCGCATAGATGCAAATAGCAATAAACCCCTAGGCTTGGAACTATCCTTCTGCATCTCCTAGTTATGACAAAGCCTGAGTGGGATTTTACGCATCCACGGAAGGATTGCAGTTAGTCCAACACATGTACGAGATACATGTGTGAGATACATCAGCGAACCAGACGTCCGATAGGGACTTAAACAAGAGTTTTCATGGATTCCAAAGAGGCCTTGTATGACCGTGCTCCCACTTTATAAATTAACCGATCTTACTCAACAGAGAGTTTGATAATAGCTTTTTATATTCGCTGGTAAACCAGCGTTTCATTATTGGTGATTAATACATTACCCAGGGGTGCCTGAACTCCTCAGGGTTCGGAGAACTAATGCCGTGGGCTTTGCTTTCTTCGTTTCGATGACTCATAGTATCCTTGACCATAAATATCTCTCCCCTGTCTTAATAGATTGTTCATTTCTGGTTTCATAGAATCACATAAAAAGTACTTTGCGTTAACTTTGACGTGGAAGGCGATGAGAAGTGTCATGCTACAAAATGTTTGTTTTCTTGATTGCGCTACATTTAAGGGTTGCGGATGTACGTACTTCATTGTTGCCGTGAACACGGACAGGTTTTTTGGCATCGACGAGGAAGTGTACCGAGCTGTCCGAAGATCTTCCAATTCTTGCTGAACAGATTGGTATAACTGTCGCACAACAACATCCAACTCCTGATGATGAGAAAAAAGAAGTCACCAATCAATCCGAGTATCAATTCGTTTCACTAACACGTTAAGAAAATTTAAGAGTTTGGGATGGATTTAAAATATAACGTTGCGTAGACAGTGCGTTTATTCAGTGATCCAAGTCCATTGCCTTTGCCATTTTTTAAACAATAAGTTCATAGCTTAATTCGTAGATTACTAGAACTTCGTAGTTATAAAGCAGAGGATCCACCCAATCGGGTCGAAAAATGGCTTTACGAGAATAACGTTACTGCTCTAATTTTGATCTGGTATCGTCTACTGAGTGCCAATACTCTTGTTGCTTCCTGTAGAAGAAAAGGACGATGTTCATGCAGACGAGCGTTGCCAGTGGCCAACTTTGTCGGTCGGTTGAAACTAACGTGTTTGTTTTGGTGGACGGCGATAAAACTCCAAAGTCCACACTTTACTTTCATCCTTGAGAACTGAGTTGAGGGTGCCGTTCTTATGTAGGATACTGAAGTACACCGCAAATACATGAAAGACAATACGACCGCACCAATTATATTTATAATAATAAATCAGGTGACACTAAGTGGATGCCATGGTGACTAGAGTAGTGTACTAGTGATATTTGTTTGATGCCATTTAAAATTTATCTAGCGGAAGATATCCTGCTTCCTAAAGGAAACTACTTACAAGGTTGCTGAAAACTCACGACCGGTTTCACCCATCTTGGGGCTCTTCAGGTAGGTGCAGTCCCCGAGTTTCCGTCAACCTTATGTTCTACTTGAACACAAATTGGACTCTTTTTGAGAAACACACTCATTTGCAAATCAATTCGGTTTGCAGGAGAGACTCAAATGAATTTCTCGTTTATGCTATTCTGCAACTGAACGTGTTACACATAAGCCAGTATATTTCCATAAAGTAAACTACTCACAAAGTTACTGAAACATTAGACGGCCTGTGTGCAGCACAATCAGTTGTAGAATATCACAAACGAGAGATTCAGTTGAGTCTCTCTTAAAAACTAAATTGATTTGCAAATGAGTGTATTTCTCGATAAGCTCTTATCTTTCTCTTTGGCCTGATACTGTCTTCTTGTGCACGCTACATCTCAGGTGCAGGTATGTACGATCGATAATTTATTTCACTGATCAGCTTTTAACTCATCAACTCGGCAAATCAAGTTCTCTACACCAACGTTAAAATATTATTGCAATTATTGGGTCAGCTGTTATTGAGACTGGACGTTCTCGAAAGACTAAGGTATTCTTTTCCGGACAGTAACCTCTTGGAAGAAGACCAAATTGACACAGATTCTTCAAACGGGGATTATCTCGCAGAATATATTGCATTGTGTCGGTCTTCTCAGATGATCTCCCTGGAGTGGGATCATTGCAAGTTCTACGTACATGCGGATGGCGTACTGGTAGACTTCTGATGTGGGATATAGGAAAACCTAATGCTGTTGGGTCGTTACCACTTGGACAGAAACAAGCCTGCGGACTTGACTTCGAATCACACATTATGAATTCGACCACTCCACCTAGACCGACAAGGGCGTTTTCGTTTCGGTTAAGTGTTCTTTGATATGTTCTCTCGGTCACCAGCACGCCAGTTATGTTGAACCGAGATATCAGGTAGCCCTCCGGAACATAAAATATGGATATCCATTACTCGACAGAAATAAATACCTTGATGTAACAGGGAATGAGAATACTTTTAGTATCCATTTTTGCTTCTGTTTAGGGTTGATTTCTAGCTCACTGGCCACGGTTTGCACAAAGTGAGTACACTATTCACGGAAAGATTCAAACGAACAGTTCACTACTGGCAATGCCACCAGAGTCATCCGCAAGATCCCACAAGGGTTCGAACATTCACCTTGTCCTTTACTAATTCATTGAGGGCTGCCTGTAGACTGGCAACGCAACAGAATTGCAAGCCTTAAAAAATTATCGCAACGTGCGCACCAGATCAGACGATTATTCCAGTTCGTACTTCTGTGCTGTTTCTGGTACTGCGGTTCAAATGCACCTTACCATTCGGCATCATACTACACAGGAGCGCTGTAAAGTAATGTGTAGTCTTCTGAATTTGCTCGAGAGACATATTGCTTGGTAGTCCAGGTAAGTGCTTGCAGAGTTGCCGAAATGAGCTGATAGGAAGCGTGTTCAGTGAACAAGCTGGTGACATGTTATTCTGGAAGGACGCAGTCGACATATTTTTAGTGAGCGAGCTTATACTAAGCCGACCCAATCCACCTGGCGAAGGTGGGCAACAAAGCTCAGCTCGAAACATTTATCGGAGAATGAATGAATACGACTTACACAATTGGTAACGCGAACGGGTACACTCTGTTTTACACGGGATCTGTGAGATATTTTGCCTCGATCTGAACTCAAAAAATAGTTCTGGTCAGAAGTAAGCGCACAATCACCCTAACTGGGGACGACCCTTGGCATAGTAGTTGAATAAACGTTAGCTCAAGGACCTTTCATTCCGATGTCATATGCACGTCGGTATGAACAACATATCCGCATATTGCGTTGAACAAGATAGGTGTTCTCGGTAAGCCACTGCTCACCAGAAAGGTGGACAATCTTCTCGTGCTTTAATTTCGGTTGTCGGTTTCTTAGAAATTCTGAAGATAAACACCTGGTTTTTAATAAATTACTGGAAGTCAAAAAAATTCGCACAAGAATTAGCCGCTAGAAGTCCAGTTACGATTATTCCAATTATATTGTTTCTAGTGTGCATGCTGTGACTCCTTCAGTGAAAGAGAAACTGGGAAGCTGAAAGCATGATTCCGACAAACAGACACAAAAAACTATCCTTGGTTCCTCTCTATGATGGAATTCTTTAGCGATAAAGAATCATTGGTTTGCTGTCTACAGAATGGTTAACTCTTCAAGAATGTAGATTTGCGATCTCCTCTTATCAGCATTCGGGTAAGGATACTTATGCACCTTTCGTCAATTCTCAGTCACACTGAGGCGCTGCCTAGTCCTTCTAAAATGCTCAGTGTAACGGGGCCACCGCTGTAATATACAAAAACTGTTCAAACGTTCAGATGCACATATGAAGACTGTGGGAGAATATTAGTATGTAGTGTTGAACAAAACGTAAGTCCAGTGCTCTCCCCAAAAGGACTGTGTCAGGAAAGGTGGATGACTGTCCAAACAAGAGTAATGTGAGCGTGAATTCTGAAAACATCGCAACCACTTATAAGTAAGCAGTAGTATTGCCAATCATGTCATTGTACAATCCAAAAAAGCACCAGGCCGTCTACAGCAATGCTTCGTGTGAGTAGGGCTGCTCAAAGAACCTGCTGCTCAGAGAACCTGAAAGGCTGTGAAATTTCTGGAATTCGAAAAACTAAGGAGGATAAAAGAACAGTACCAAAGCGTTCTTTTTCGCTGGAGTACATTGAGCATCTGTGCTCATTTCGCTTTGTAACGTGCTTTTATGGCCTGACCCAACAATGTACGTTTGAATTCTACCAAATTGCCGACACTTAATTTTGCCTCGAAGCATCCTCCATCACTGTGTTTGGATGAAAACCAACCATCACATTAGCTGTTGTCTATATTTCCCGACTTCATATGATCACTGTTGAGTTGTGACAGGTACAATGTTACAACGTTACATAATGTGGATTTAATTAGATTCCTATCAACCACTTGTCAGGAGTAGGATAAAATAGCTACTGGATGATGGCAAACCTTGTTCATGAGTACCTTACTGAAGCGTCACTGTAAGTTATAAGCAAAGTGTCGATAATCCCTCCAACATCATTCAGTACACCTGTGCATCTTCTTCGTTGAAAATCCTGTGCGTTAATAAGAGTAACTCAAGACCAGGACACCTGGAATTCAAGCTCACCATATATCTTGGCCCTACGGAGTGCTGTTTAGCACCCTTTCAATTTTGACGAAGCTGATCTTCAGTAAAGATCAGAATTCGTGCACATCCAAACCGAACTCGAACATGGGCATATCGATTTGTTTGTCTTTTGTGCAGGCTCGAGATAAGTCGAGGACCGGCTAAGTCCGACGCGTCAGTCTTCCGATATCAGCGTTTCTTCTACCGTGGAGACACATGAGCTACTCAATAATATCAACAATGATCCCCGGATTTCAGGTGAACCTGCTACAAGTCACTGCTGAGGCACTTTCATATGTAGTTGAGTAGCGTTTATTGTAGCTGCGCTATTATTCCGCTTTTCTGGTGAATGAGAAGTCCAATTTTTTTTATTTCCTATTTACCCTCAACATTTTTTCGTTTGATTGCATGTAACTGACTTCATGTTCATAAACTGTTTGACCAAAGCCCCGATCATGCTTCTGTCTGCATTTAAGTTTTTAAACCTGCCATCTGTGAGTGGTATTGCGGATTTGACATCAAAAATGTGACAGCCTCCTGAAGGTATACCCTTGAGATAGCTCCGTACAAGTCTGTGGGGGTAATTCGTTCTTCACCCTCTGTTTTTGTGACAGTGACGAAGTTGCAAACATCCGCGTGGGGCATCAAAAGCGCTACCGGAATACTGATGCCTTTTTGGTGCCTTCTGAGTGCTTTAAACAGCTCTTCTATGAGCCGGAATTGATTCAGCCTGAGACGTCCCTTCTAGATGCTCGATATTACTAGCTCGTCTTCATGCACACATTACCTCAGCATGCCGAACCCGCAAAACGGCTCCCAAATCTGGTCGACTAAGTACCCTAGAGCAAGTGGTTTTTTTACACAGATGGACTGGGATAAGCGCTGGCATGAAAAGGTTCTTCGGCTCAAATAATCGGAATGAACAGTCAGCTACTGGGTTGGTTGGTGTAGATACATCCTATCTCACAACCAGTGTTGTAATTGTGAGGTTTTCTTAAAATCTTGCTTTGTGCAGACCTTGTGCTACATTGTTGATTCATTCAAGTACAGCCCCACATCAACTATGTTTATAACATGCATTGTTCAAATTAAACAAGTCTGGATGAGTGACGTGGAGTATATTCGCTCCGTGCTTCATCATGAGGAATAAAGCAGTTAGCTGAGTACCTATTCCTGATGTCTCAGATAATATAGATTCTTAGGACCGGTCCTCTATGGGGAGGGACTTCTTGCGCACACGAAAGAACCGCACTAGTACAAGCGTCTCCTACTAGGAATTTCCGAGATAAACTGAAGGCAACTTAAATCTTCAATCAACCCATAGCGACGCCAGTAGTGCATATTAGTATATCCCCGTCTGCAGTATTTTCTCTGAGATTACTATGTTCACAGTTAATGTGCACGGTCTTGTATACCTACTAAAGGATACGGCCACTGCTCACAAGTATTGAACCCAGTATGATGATTTATCCACAAAAGCCTCCCCAATAAAAGTTCCTAAAAAGTAGGGCCAGTTCCATTGAAGGAGCTAATAAATGTGTTCGTCTTCAGCCCCCAAACAACAAAAGAGAGGTGGTCTTGCAGGGGAAAACGAATCTCACTATAGAGTGTTGATTTTCGTTTTTTGGGATTGGTCTATCTGTTCACTGCCGACGACTGGGAGTCGAACGACTGGGAGACAGAAGAATATAAATTGACAGTAGAGCGGAACTAGTAGTAAAGTTGTCTTTTTCAATAAAAAAAATCCACTAAAAGTACACCACCTTATGGTATTTCGACTTTCAGACAACTCACGTGATGCCGGTATTCCAATTTACCAGATATGTGTTCTATCTCAGCTAACAGTGCCAAGTCTTTTTTATCACGTAACTCGCGATGTTGCACCAGCTGGTCTCCATCGTTTGCCTCGCCTACAAACACAGAAGCAGAACCGTAGAAATTATCTGAGGAATGTTGATAACTCGCGCAGTCAAAATTATTCCTATGGCAGTTGTGTGGTAGGAAAAGAGTCAAATTCTTTAAAAACAATTTAATGGATTTTGGAAGCTCTGTTGGGGTCGGCCTAGAAGCAAACTTTATGGTGTTTTACGACTGGCAGTCATGCGCTTGGACAAAATTCGCCCCTCAGCTCGTTATTCTAGCCTATTATCTGCAGCCGGGGCTGTTGTCATGGGACTGTACAAACTTAGTCTCGGTGCCCACAGACGGTTTGTCGGAGCCCTTAATTCATCTCAGAACTCACATGGGACAAGTGACCTCGATGTGTTCAAACATGCTTCCATGCCGTCTGATTACCATGTAGCTTTTCCGACGAGTTAACGCACCATATGTCGTTTTCCTGTCGTTTTTTCCACCCAAGTTTTTGCGTCATGCTTGGCCAGCTGAATCAGTGCTCAAAATGAAGTTGTTCGCTCTCTGGTCTTTTAATCCCTTCTCAGGGTCGCTAAACATTTCCCTTGATCTACAAAAATCTCTTTGCATGTTCACTGATTCATTTTGCTTGATTAATCCTCAAGATCAGGTTTTGGTATCGATTGAAAACAAGGACGTATAAAGTGTCACATCTTATGGAGTTTGTGTAATCCTGTAGATGGTTTCTAGATTATTCATTTTCTACTGTGTGTGGCACTGCGAGATGACGAAGAAAACCTAAGTAGACGAACGATCGTGTACAATTAGGTGTGTTTATCTCAAAACAACTCAATTCTTCTATCCATAGAGCTGATTTCGTAAGATATAGATTTCTGGAACTCACGTGCTTCGAATTCGATTGCTTCAATCCCGAGGCGATGGAATATTTTGTACTTCAGATTTTCAATGGTGTCCAAACCTTTAGGAGACGGTCTGAGAAGAAGGAAGGGGAGTGACAAGCAGCCAAAAGATATGGGTAAAATTGGTTGAACTGGAGATGAAATAAGCCACCATTTTATGAGTTTACAGCCGAAAATTTTGTCAGCATTAACGTATTGTCATGCATAATTAAAGCTCTTTGAAAGACAACAGTAGATCCCTTCATTTTACGTAATTTTCTGTCTTAAAACATTTATTTATTGTCGTCAACACTTGGTTAAGAAGCCAAAATCAGGGTCAGACATGAACACTGCTAAGTCAATTCGTTGAAGTTGTTCCAAAACCTGTCAGTTCGTACAACATTACCTGCTAACAGTACGGTTGTACGCGCAGTATCAGCGAACTTCAGGTGTGGAAACCAAAACCTCAAAAACAAGGAGAACTTTATACCTAAGAACTCCTACGTTAGTTGAGGAGAATAAGGTTAGTTCTATGATATCTTTTGAACGATTCATCTCTCATAAGCAACATTATCGGTGTTCATAGAAGAAATCAGACGAAACGACTTCACAATATTCGCGCATGTATGTAAACAAACAGAAATTTCAGCAAAAGTGCATTTGCTAGAATCTAGGCGTTTTTATTCAAAAGGTTGCATTTTCGTTCCCGTTTGTCGAGTTATTGCTCCTGGCGAAATACACCAAATTAGTGTATTAAGTTGATATTACTGTATGATCTAAATGAATCCGAGATGAATCTCGTGCTCATGGTATTCAGCTGAGTTCCACTCAATTCCTCCGGTAACACTAATGTAACTTGCAATTGTGTGTATTTTACCAATCGCGTGCCAGTTAGTCATTAATTAAGAAGCTTGGTTGGTGTAAACACAGGGAATACGCTTATGTATTGTGTCCCAGAAGGTAGTGGGCCGCTGGAGAGATTTCAGCAGCGTTATACGTAATTTCACGTTCTGCAAAAACACTCATTTGCAAACAATTTTTTTGAGATACGCACCTGGAACCCAGCTGAATCTCTCATTTATGGTGTTTGTAAGCAACTGAACGTGTTGCATCAAGCTGCCTCATGTTTCAGTTGTTACGACATTTACGAGATCGCGACACATGTATAGACGTAATACACTACTCATAAGGTCAAAGAGTCATCAGCAACCTCATGATTAGTGTAGAATTATGTTCATTTATACAATCCTAGATATCCATTTATGAATTGTTTAAATTTGTCCTCAGGAGCATCCAGTATGGACCCAGTTATCGAACTGAACATCTCATTTGAAAGCTTCATATATATACATATATATATATATAATCTATTGATGAGAAGAATGCGATGGCTTACCTTCATTCAATCGGATGTTCCCATGCTATGCAAGTATATTTCAAACAATTTTTGGACACCTAAGAAATTCACTGATTACATCTAACTGAAATTCGGTTTCCACAATGTCTCATTACTAGGCAGTCCAATCCGAGGCAGCACATTCATAGTTTTATCAGATGGGATTAATTCCACTCTGTCCTAGCGGTGATTGTGTTCCTTCCTATTATACTTCGCACGTCACCAGCCGTCAGAATATTAGTAAAACGATAAAAAATACCCACGTGTGTGTGGTTGTGCGCAAGAATTTCCATAGCACTTCTGGTTTTTCTGAGGAGTTACGCACAGATTTGTCCAAAATTTGTGTGCCATTAGTGAGTTGTTTGGAACAGAAGGTTCGAATCGGAACGGTGATAGACACATTATTTGTTAGAAAATGCAGCTTACCACCTCTCAGTGTTTGCTATGGATCTAGTTTGTCAAAACAGAGAGGGGGTTCGAAATGCAGCCCTAATTTTTCGCGTCAAAATTAGTTGAACTACAGAATGTAACGCTGTTTTATGTTTATTGAAAATCAAGTGTTCTCAAGTAAGAAATGGGCGGTGAGCAACCGGTCACTGCTAAACCACATGATATGAACGTAACTTACTGAAGATGAATGGTGCTACGTGGAGAAAACTATGAAACAGATTAGCTGCTTGTTTGTTTGCCGAGATCGGTAAACGTGTCGTCACCCTTCGTCGGTGTGCTTTTGGGTGGGCGACAAAGCGTTCTTTTATCAAATCAACTACTGATGAATCCATTCGATCTATCTTCAGAGAGATTTGGTAGACAATCGAGGATGTATTACTGAACAAATTTTCGCTTTTGACACAAATGCTTCATCAGGCCAAGTAAGGTTGATCGGGTTTTAGAGCAGTCAGTGAACCAATCCATGTAATTTCTTATGACTAGCTGACTTGGCCTGCGTGAATTTCCTTTTTGTTGGACGGCGAAGATGACTAACAAGATAAAATGCTTCGGGGAATTTGTTATCAATTTGAATCAAGACTTTGCGATCTAGCTTTTCCGGCTTGGGACAGCGTAATAGAATATTCCTCTCAGGTGTCGTTTACAGAATCCGTCGGTCGGTGTACATCCAGGAATGGCAGGACAACTGGGTTGGGGATAATGGTGTAGTTATATGAATTATGGTGGTCGTTGGCTTGTTCGCTGAGCTGGGCAATTTGATTGCAAACGTTTCATCACCAATCGAGGTGACATCATCAGTGCGTTATTGTGGAGCGTAGTAGTGCGTAGCTACGCACTCGTACCCACTGATTCTGGCGTGTAATTCCGTGGCTTCCGATCTATACAAACCTTCATACAGTCGTTACATTTCATTTTGTTTACAGTCACCGGGCTTATCAACTGGAAGGGAATCCCCAACTGCACCATTACTGAGCGTAAAGTCTTTCCCTTCTAGAATCCTACTATAATGTTAACTATATTCAGCACCCTTTTGGTGTAGCTCCACAACTATGTAGTACAGTAAGAGCACTGTACACAGAGGAGGTTGACAAGAAAGCAGCATAACTTGAAGTAAGAATCGACTTTAAGATAGCGGTACCCAGGGGGTTTAATTAGCGGCAACTAAGACAGGTGTTGGTCCCAATACCAATACCAAACAAGTAGTGGGTTGACGCAACAGCCATCTCATACAAGCAGGGATATCTGAAGGTAGTAGAAGTCACCGTTGGTCTCAGTGATGACGAGCAACCATAAAATGAGGTTGGGACGTTAAAATCATTTCTGGAATCTCCTGGATATGGGACCTACTAAGACATAAGACGGTAGCCCCTAAAACAAAAGTCTTTCAAAGTCTCTGACTGCTCTACACAACGTTGCTTGATTTTCTTTAGCAATATCTTGATTTTTATGGCTGTCAACTGAGAAGGTTAGGATTCACGGCATTAGCCCGCAGGATTTTAGTCACAAACGCTTTGCTTTGAAACATAGCCAAACAGCGATTAGGCTTACTCTATTTTTAGAAGTTAGGCAGTTAAATCTGATACTCATTTTTCCAGCTTTCTGGTTATCATATCAAAGAAGACTACAAAAAGAGACTGAGTGTGACGTCCAGTGAGTACCTCATCCTGGGTTTACCATCTCTTTCAACCTTCTCTCGGTTTCACGGTTCTACAATCGACAGCGTATACAGCAATTAAAACTTAGGTATGCCACGTAGCTTTGTTTTTTTAATTTTTTTTATTTTCTAAACAAAATTACGTTGAATTTTGTGAAATGTTTACCGAATCTTGCCCCTTTTTTCAAACTAACATTAGTCAGCACAATCAACGTTCACACAGGTCTCCTAACAACCAGCCCTTAACATTTTCTGATTGAAGACTAACCAATCATTTCCTCATAGAACTGGGTAAAGTTCAATAAATTTAGAAAAACCAAGCCCCCGCTTTATGTTGTAAATTATCGTTGATAGGAATAATGGAAATGCGGCTACCACTAATGATTCATCCAGTTGCAAGGCAGGGATTATCAGATTCCCGGTTTGTGTGCAAGATAAATCACTCTGTGACAGAACCTGCCCCCTCGCTATAGATCAGAAGTCTGGTGCTGATAGAAGTAAACACGCAGATGGGACTGGAATAACGACGGGTATCAGTGACTTTGAAGCAACTCCAAGATATCCACACAAGAAAAAAGGTTATAAATGTTCTTATTCGTCACCTGATCTTAAGGGGTAGACATGCTAAAACGAACATGATCATTGACTAACTCGGTAACTGTGGTGGTCAGTTGCATATGCTGCATTACATTTACCCGTACGGCAACGTGTTGATAGTAGATAAACTCACAGTCGTAAAACAGCCGGTTTCTTGATCAGCTGACTTCCACGACGCTTGGCTATGGTGAACACAATCTGGTCGGTGAAGGTGAACATGCACACGGGGTCTTTTCTATCCTAGAAAGAGAAGGACATGTTTGGAATAATATGATGTTTATCAGGAGGAATCAAGGTCCAAAACCCTTTCTATTTGCTAAAGCTCTACATGGTGTTAGTCAATTCAAACCAGTGCTTTATGCAAGTTAATCAATTGCTCTGTATTTACGCGAAAAAGCGTATAGTAAGTTAAGTTAACTATCGTTTCGTTGTTTGCTACTTACGTAATGTTGTTTACGATGGTGCCTACGACAGTGAATGTGACGGTGGTGAGGATGAGGACGCTGTAAGTGACGGTCCAATCAACCAATTACCACATCCGTTATTGTCATCTTGAGTACTAGAAGGATGACTATGAGTTCTGAACCTAACCATCACAACACTGACTCCTACTACGTTTATCAGGACGTGGGCTTCTGGTCCCAGGGTCGTCCAAATCCACTTCGAAATTCTGTGACATTTATTTTGAGCCAAACGTTTAGCAAAATAAATTTAGTGAACACCGTATTAAGGGGTGACTCGAAGGACAGTGTTTGTAACACCCAGTTTTGCGTTCGACAGGTGACTGTGATGTGAAAGACCTTCTCATAAAACTTCACTTCCCAACTTTTGTGCTACTTACATGGCGTATTTGGCTGCTTGTGTATCTAATTGGTTCATGAGAACACATTAAAGGTGTTCGATTTAAGTGCACCCAAAGTGCTAGTACATGAACGGATTAGCTCGCATAATCTGAATTTCATGTGGTCAGTCCGAAAGATCTTGATTGTTCATAAAGCGTTGATTCAACGTATTTGGCTGGCTCCCTCTTGAATGTATCAGTGGACAGCTGAGAAACTTCATTCCTCTTCCTGTTTTTTCGGGTACGTAGACAAATTGACTCTTGTTTTCAGTTCTCTAGAGTCTTAAAAAGGTTAGGGTGGTTAGCTCAGAAAGGCTAACGCGTTAAAACAAAAGTACGTCCTGAAATTGACACTTGGTGAAACTTCACACTCCGCGTCACAGGGTTTACTTAGCAGTCCCATCCGAGTGACTTTGCCGGGCCGCACTGAAGTGTTTCAAAGTTTAACCGCTATGAAAACTTAGAGGAATTCGTAAGATATTTGGAGTTTGACGGAACGCTGTATCGATAGCATTTCTTTGAACAATTTGGTATTTAAATTATGTATTTCATGAGCTGCACAGCATTTTTTATTTCTTTCAGTCCGAATGATGAATTCTACTCCTGAAGGGTGGTCGTTCTCAAGAGAAGCAGTAAGTTCCCATATTTATATTCTCCTTAATATCTTAAGAACTGGAATAGTGAGTGTATGCTGCACGCAACTGAAGCTGATTAACTCGCTATTTCGACCTTTACATGAAACAGTACCTGGTAGTAACAAAACCTGGTTCAGTTGATTTACAAAAATACAAATCAAAGGCCAAATCGACGCAATAGAGCATTCAGCATGATTGGTTTTGTGCTGAAATCAAATGAAGGGTTTTTCCTGGCTTACTGTTATATTTCAAATAGAATAAGTTCTCTGAAAAGTAAAAATATTCAACGTATGCTCTCAGGAATCGAGAATCAATCGACTAACAAAAGCAGTTCTGTTCCTACTAAGCCGAAGCACATCAGCTTTAGGTAAGAAAGAACTCTCAGTCATTTAAAGTCATCTAAATGAACACCGTGCCTCTATTTATCCGTAGCTGACGCAGTCCGTACCTCTTATTGCTTTCAGTTTCATAACTCCTTGGTGAACTTGATACTGGTACAATTATGATTAGAGTTTACGAAGCTCGAAATTAAACACGACCCGTAATAGCTTAGAAAAATTTGACATTCGCGCTCTTTCTTCATATTGAATGAATATTGCACAGTCTGCTACTCTGAAAAATCTATCATATGTAGTTTTCAACTAAAATAGAAGGCTGGATTACATCAATCCTGAAGAAGTGACACGAACCGGATGGAATGTTCTGGTTAACAAATATCAGAGGTTTTTTGGGGACACTTTACCACCAACGAACAGGCACACAGACAGTTTTTTGAAACTACGTCTGTTGTACAAACAAACAAACGAGCAAGCGAAGTAGTGGAGCCACACGTCTGGATCAATAACTCAGCGGCCCATGGAACCTGGCCTACAAATAAACTGATAATTCTGGGCACCAAACAAACGAAACACTCGACTGGTGTGTCCTAGTGAAGAGAACATAGTCCGTTGAAAACTGATGACTGTTCACATGAAACATATAAATTCTTCTAAAGGAGAAAATTTGTAGCGCTAAAGCAGCCTTTTTAGTTTTACTGATGACTATCTGCATTACGAATCACATGAATTCTTCCAGAATGTGGCTTGATTTGTATAGATGATCAAGAGTGTTCGCTGAACATTGCGTGTGAGCTAAGGGTGATTGGTTATCGAACTACACATATTTACAATAGGAAGTGTGCATAGAACCAGTGAACGGATGTCAGCTCTGCTGGCATAATTAGGCTTGGGCTTTACGGATCACCTAGATAACTCAGTTGTGCTTCAGGCTATAACACATTTTAGCACATGGATAGGCAAATTCAACGTCCTCTGTGTAACAATGGATTCGAACCTATGGGACAGGAAACTACCCGTCTCGGCAGCCTGTGTAGTTCTCTCGATGTTTGATGTTCACTCGACCGTGGTACCAACCGTCGGGACCATTCTTGCAAAAAATTCTTATATACGGATTTTTCAGCACCCTGTGGCATCGTTATATATTGAGAAAATTTTGAAAATAAAATAGTGGTAGTGAGCAAAGAACTTTTCAAAATGCTTATTGGCGGCTCACGGAGTTCTGCTGTCGAAAGACCTAAGACAGTGGGAATCTAAGAAGTGTTTAGGACTTCAAAGTAAACAGTTTCGGATCTCCGTGACCTCAAGTTCTTTTTGTCAATGGTGAAGTTGCTTTCCAAGAAGCAGTGCTGAAGCATTTTCTTGTCAAACTAACCTACTTCCTTTATATCAACATGCTTCATCCTCACTAGTTATCGTAACTGATCACAGTATAAGCGTTGGCTTGTGATTTCTAAGCTTAGGCCTGGAAGTTTATGGTGGTGGGGCAACATATCCATGTCAAGTAGCCTGAAAGTAACAAAGATTTTAGGTGGTTTCTTCGTAGAGAAAGATGCACGTGACCTAAGAGGAAGTTCTCATGATTGCCGCACGGGCTCCAGCGCCGCAGAGTTTTTGGTCCATTTATCGATGAATAATTAACGTTTGTATTGATTTCACAGTTTTTGATAATTCAAGCGGATACAGGTTCCTTCACTAACACTGCTTGCTAATCTCGCGTCCTGAAAGCCGAGGAAGAATAATCACTTATTATTTGTTTTCAATTCTTTTCTACAAAATCAGCGACATATCAAATGAGGCATATAATGAAAAGAGAATCTGAAGTAACTCACTTCGAGCGAGATGATATCATGTCGGATGTAGGTGCGACTTGGAGTCAAGGTCTGAAATGTAGACAAACAGATCCACGTTAACTATCAACTTTTGGATTTCGAATGAATCTAAAATCAATGAATAATACGAATGGGTAGGAAAAAAAGTTCGGTTGTAGATGTCCATTTACCAGGCAAAGTCAACTCACACCGGAAGGTTTAGGAGCAGCAGTTGTTACGAAACACCATACTCAGTCCGAAAGATAGAAGTCTATTTTTTTGGTGTGGTAATCTAACGTGGGAAAGGCTATGAGTGGCCCATTAACAGTTTTCTCCATGACAGGACTTTGTGCCAGATATTCCCTAAAAAGAATGACCTAGTCTCGACTGGCATTTCGTGTGGTCAAATCTCGTTTAGATATTTTCACCTCAGAATCGTCTACTCGTTACTACTGTGAAGGTGTCAGGTTCCGAATTCTCCACATATTTTGTAGAAATTATAAAGTCAAACCACAGAGTAGTGGGAACAATGTTGTGGTCCGACGTTCCGACTGCCTTTGATAAAGTTTTTCATTTCAAATTTACAGGAAATATCTGTATATTGTTACATAGTTAAAGGTGTACGCTGACTTTATACGTTCTGCTAAAATACAGAATCCCTATTGTCGCATAAGAATGCGCTAAAGTTCCGGTCAAAATTGTCCCAAAGTTTCAGATCTTCGGGATATTCGTTTGTCCGGTGACCTGGATGCCAATACGCGTAGAAGAAAGAAGGCCTCTGCTGCCTAGTTATTTATTAGAAAATGCCAAATGATCATTTACAGACTATCGGAAAGGGAAGCTAAACTCTCATTTGCAACTTATTTACAAAACTGAACATCCATCTTTCCCTGAACGCGTCTTCTTGAACATTCCTGGATATTCATTGACTCAAATCATTCATTGCTCAAATCCAACTAAATGCTACAAAGTGACTGCACAAATTCCTCAACTGATCGCTCATTTCAAGAGACGCAAAGCGAATTTGCAAGTAGAAAATATACTACTCGTATGCCTCCCCATCAGTAGTATCACTGTTACACGCGTATCTCTGAGAAAGGAAAGTTTTAGGTTTGTATGCTAATCATTCCCGAATTTGTGGCTGTTAATCTATAGTTGCTAGTTCTGCATCCTCCCTACTGATCATCATTGTAATAAGGGTGTGGGAGCAGTGTCGAAGATGCAAAATTGTCTGGGTTGCCCTAAGTTTATCTGTCCAGTTAGCTGAATTCCTGAATTTTTCGAAGAGATACATGCTAACCATTGCAAGACAAATCAAATTGAGTAAACGATCGGTGCTGAACTACTAATATCGTTGAGTGTGAAGTGTTCCACAGTTCTTTCATGACCAGTCCTTGGGTATATGATGTTTTCTTGGGTTTGACAGTTATTCCTTATCCGACCGTCGACAGTTGCTCTAAAGCGGAACAAAATTCTCACACCTGCGGTCAGTAGTTCCGTGATGTCAAAGTAAGTGGCAATAGCTGTCGGTCACAACAACAAATGGTCCAGTCAAAGCCATTCTATGAAATTACTGTATCGTTGACTGCAGTGCGCCATAGTTGTGTCACTCACACTAATTTGTTTCGGTTAACAGTCTACTACATACCTCGAACTTTTCATGCTGCGCTTCATATTCGTTTAGGCTGGTGGGCAAGCTCGAGCTAATCCTGCACTTCGCGTGAAGTCTACAACACCTTTTCTGCTGACTATCCGACGAGAAGCATCACACAACGAGAATGCTTCCTCCAGAGAATGGACGGGTGAACGTTAGAAAAAAAATCATTTCCCATAATTTGACAAGCAACTCGTTGCTGTCTGACTTTACACTGCTGGCAGACTAATGAGTATCAGTAGGACGATTTAATTGGATTGCGCTCAAACTCCTGTGAATTTCCACATTTTTCCTCCACCATTCTCGCCTCGTTCCTCGGGTGAAAGGGGGTTGGGTACTATCCACATATCCGTAAACACCCGTTTTACATGTGTGCGTGTAGAAGGCTAAGGGCAAAAACAGATTGCAAGTTGACAGTTGAATGAAGACCGTGCAACCGTGGCACATTCCGAAGTCACATGGTGGCCCACTGTCCAAAAACGAGTGAGATGTGAGACCAAGTTGGGTTGTGTATCCTCTGTTTCGGAAAAGATTATCTTACAGTTTAAAGGTTATCGTCAAAATTTGTAGTGGGTTCTTCTTAAATTGTGACAAGCTATGCAGTGGAATGTTGTGCGATTCAAATATGCTTGTAAAATGACCACACTAATGACAGTGGGAAAAGGAGGAAAGAGAAAATGTCGTTTGAGAGAAGTTCGCGACTTACGGCAGGGGCAAGGAGTTGTTCCAACAACTTCAGTCCATCCACAAGACATTCATCTTGACCATCTGCTTGAACGGTATTCACGCGAACAGCTAGTTGGTGGATAGCGATTTCAGCTTCTTTTAGCAGCGCGTTGTCTGAGTACTCTTTAGGTGTGTATTCGATCAACCGCTAGAAAATGGAAAAGCAAACAGGTCCTTACTCATTATAGACTTTGAGTCCTGAATAAGAGAAATGCAAAGTGTTATCCCAGTCAAAGATAGGGCAGACTTCGTTTAGGCGCTGCAATTATTAATAAAAATTATAAGGTATTCCATTGTATAAAAATATGATCCAATTCGTTGACATTGTATTCTGATGAGTGGTTTCTTCAAAGGAGCCTATTCTCTGCTCTGACTGAAGACCTGAAAACTTGCTTTACTCATTCTAAATCCTTCCACAAAGTTTGGTAACGAACCCTTAGAGAAGTCAAGGAAAAGTGAACAGAGGGCCGGGATTTAGTACATCCCTGTATCACAAAAGAAATTTGGCGACCTTTTAAAAGCGGTCACTGTTATGGTCAGTGTAAAAGAGCACGGTACAGAGGCAACTATAAGGCGACTGGGTTTTTGGACTCCGACATGATAAGAGAGAGGGCGAGCTGCTGTACACCGGACGATATTTCTCGAGAGTGGAGCACAATTTTAGGAGAACCTACTTACTTAAAGAAACAAAATTATCGATTCAAGCTTTAGTTAAATTGTCGGAAATGTTGGACCTGTCAAAATTTTTCTAGCCTAATTAGGCAAACCTAAAGTGAACTTTGTTTTCTTGCCCTAGACATTAGAGTGCAAAATGGCCTGGCAACAAAGCAGCATCCGACGATTAATTCTGCGTCTACGTCAAATGTCAAATACTATGTCCAGTATCTCGGACGTCTGTTGTTTCCTTATATGGTAACTATCTTCTTTCAACCACTCAGTACGTAGAATGGTGGTTCACTCGCTTAAGATCTAGTTGTAGATTTAAACGGTGCAAGGTGTAAATAAAAGTGCCGTTTGGTATTCAGATCTACTTTATGGGCGTTAGAAAAATGAACAATCGTTTCAAAAATGAATGTCGCGCGCACTCCAACTATGATCCTACCGTCTCACAAGCCTAAAATCAACTCAGTTTGTTTCGACTACGAACATAACGGATTAATCCTCACAATAGTCACTAGTGATCTAAGAGAATTGGCTAACACAAGAGTAAAACTCTAATCGATTATTGCCTTATTGTTATCCCTCACAAAGATCTGTTTGATGTAACAAGCTAAAAACCGTGCTCAAGTCAAGAAAGCAGCGAACACTAATGTCTCCTATCACAATGTAACTGATAATGTTGATTAATCAATCGACCAACCAAAATACTTGATAGTTTTCAAAATTTCACTCACCCGAACCAAAAGCTCGTATCTGGGAATACGCTGAACCGGTTGAACTAGTAGAGCTTTTAGTGGCAATTTGCTTCGTAAGGTCCGTAGTTTTTGCTAAAATACAGAGAAAATAAAAGAGTAAATTTATTCAGACGATTGACTGAAATTTTGTTTTCTTCGTGAGTGAAAGCTGTGATTTTCCTTGAGTCTGCAGGCATAACCAGGCGAGTATGTGGATAAAAGTACATCACTCCAACGCTGCATCTGCATTGGTCCACATAGCTGGACTTGAAAGGGGTCAAGAAACCCTGCCCCCGTATGAGAACTTAAAATTTGCAATAATATGCAGTAGGATAATAGGCATCTCGTGTCACTTTTGTGGTTGACAGACGTACCACTCCTCAGAACAATTCAGTTTCTTGAAAAGAATTGAACGTTTTACCCATTTGAGCACGTTAGCTCATTTAAGGATGTGAGTCATCCCGTTCTGTCCATATTTGATAACTATGAATGTAGGCTCTTGGCTTATATGGATTCAAGGAAACTCTTAATCGGGGTGGTAAAGAGTAACAGACTGACGATATAGCAGAATCCTGTACGCGAAGTGGGTCGCCCCAACCACTATTTTGACGTCCCTACACCACACATAGAGGGCATTGGACTCAGAGTATTTCCTCGGCCGTACCAAATTTTGGAACCCCGGAGATGTGATATGCACGCACTCTCATGCACCATTGATGGGTGAAACTGAAGCCCAACGCTTTTCCCTTTTGTTGTGGCTCCAGTGAGACAAATGGATAGCTTAAACAAAAGTTATGTGAGTGTGTAAATTCTAAAAATCCTACAACTAAATAGAAATTTTCATCAACTCTTCGAATGGTTAGTGTTACCTGAACGAATGAATAAAAAACTCCGTATCTAAAAAGAAGTTGAGTGTCAAAAAGCTTCTCAAAGCTTCGTTTGCCCGTAACTTTTAGAGTCCAGCAAAGTGTATCCGTATCTCAGCTGGTCTGAACACATTTAAGAATACTCATGTCAGATTTTTGCTACTTATATCAAGAGAAGTGTTCTCCAATGAAAGGGTTAGAACCAGTATCAGAGGTCTAACGGAGAGTTTGGTACCAAAGCAGCCGTGAGAGAACTTTGCCGGCCAAATTTAACATGACATCTACTTTCCCTAAGGACTTCACGTGAAATATATTTTACCCAACATAGAATAGTTGGGATAAGGGGAAACGATGCGAAGGACGTATTTTAAAAATCTGGCTTCCCACAAAGATTTAGTCCGGCCTTTTGGATGGTTCTTTTTTATTACATGAGAACTTTCTAAATCCACGCCACTGCCCTTCCCGATTTAATCAGCTCATTGCCGTGTTCACTCAATACACCAATAAATGGCTAGCCTTACGAAATAACCTTATATTACCATCCAGTACATCCTCTCTTACTAATGTGGAATTAGCAATTTCGTATATGGTCGCTACCTCCTTTTTCAGTCTTGAAAATCTCAAGTACAGGCTGACCGTATCGTTGCAAATCCCGGTGAATATGGAATACATTTCAAAACTCCGGTTTTATTGCATTTCGTCTCTATGGAATAAAATTCGCGTTCACTAAGTAACAAAAGTGAGTCACCAAAAAGCCGTTTGTTCGAATGTTGTTAACCTGTGTTAACTGTGTCACAAAGTCAACTTCCGCAAGTTCACTCGATTCGGCTTAATCCAGTAAGCAATCAGGTGAGCCGTGACCTCATCAACAGGCATCAAAAGCAGATAAAACTAACTTGACGTCTTCATGAAAAAACAGTCGTTGGAATGGGCAACACAGGATACAGGAATTTCGTAACAACAAAATTTATAATTTTTGAAGTTAGCGCTGTCGTTCAACATAATTCAGAGGCTAGCGGTGAACCACTGTTTAAGTGAAAATTCCGACCCTAATATCGGGCTACTCAGTTGCAGAATAAGCCAGATTTTCACAATAAAAATTCACGCCGTCTCTTGAGTGATGTTCCTTCTAAATTGCTCTCCGTTTATGGGAAGGGTATTTGAAACAAGTAAGGGAAATCACAGAACGATTTACAAGGCTTAGACGTACGACAGACAACCGAAACTCACCTCACAGAACTTCTGAAAGGCTCTGATATTCCAGCAGGACTCAACAGTCTTCTCTGCATTCGGAAAGTGCTCCACAAACGAACAATAGCAAGAGGTCACTGCTTCACGCGAGAACTGTAAAAGGTAGACAAAAGACCAGTGTTTACGTATTCATATACAAATCTTGCACATTTCGGTTCGATAGAACTGACAACTATAAAATTCTCGGTGCTCGAATTCGGCAGAACAGTCATAAGAATCAAGTAATTCTCCCGAAAATATAAGCGCCCGATGCGTTGGAGATAGTCCGTTGTCGACATCTTCTTTGCCTATCAAACGGCTGGTCCACTGAAGGAGTTTCAAATGACCCATTGAATGGATCCGAAAATACTCCTATGTGACTTTTCTATTTCGACAAGTGTAGCGTACATGTCAAAGCAACTGACCATAAAAAACTACTGTTATTTCTTCCTGGCTATAACTTTTACGAAGAAGAGCAGAATCATTGAAAACATTTGTGGTATGTGCCACATAAATCCTACAATGAAGTGACTGAATGTGAATAGGTACCTGAATAGTCTATACGGTCGTCCGAGCTTAAAAGGGTGAGATGGCCGACATAAGTTTTGAGACAGCACCTGAGTATTTGATCGCATATATATGTATATATATAACATGCCACACAGTAAAAAGAGAAAAAACTGACTACATCCCTTTCGTAACATTCATAGTGATTAAAATTTCTGGTTGGTTACAGCCATAATCGGAAAATAGGAATTTCTCGTAAGAATGTTCTGCAGGTCTCGCATAGAGAAGGGTTGTTTACCCTCCCTCTTTCCGCTAGAGCATTCAGTTAGTGTAACAAGAAGGTCTGCATCCTGGACCACTTTGATTCTCTTGTTCCCAAGCTAACGTTGCTATTGTTTATGAGATCCTTCTACTCTTTAACGCTGACGTAAATGCGTTTGCTAAAATGTCGATCTTAGTTGTATAAACTTTCAGCGAGTAAGACATATTAGTAATGATTAAATGACCTTTCAAAGAAGATCATCAGCTGCCACGACTAAAGATTAGTGCTCCGTATCGATAAAGTTCACTCAACTGCACCAGTTCTTTTAGCTGTAATTTTCACCAAGACCGATAAAATGGACAGTGATGTAAGTCTCCCCTACCCGATTAGTTGCAAGAACTTTTGTGGGCCCTGATGTATCCGGTCTGTCAAGGTAATCCTGAATCGATACTCAGCATTGTAAGGGATATATCGGTACAGTCTTCAGACAAATTCAAATTAAGACAGACACCTTGCAACCACATTATCTGTGTGTTCTTAGGACGGATATGAGTGATACGGAAAACGTCACAACAGACTTACCATGTCGAGCAGCTTGTCACCAACCGTATTGGTAATCTCCCACATTTGTAATGTGTTTAGAAAACTCATGTGAAAATTGAGCAATTCATTGACTTTGTAGAATATCGTATCCACTTGTTGGTCGTCCAGTATTTTCTCTTGCTTCAGCGGAATCATGTAACACTTGGGAAAAAACATTTAAAAAAAAAGATAATTTAGGCTTGAATAAATGTAGGTTTAGCCTCCTGGTAGTTTGCGTTTTCTTACCGGACAACGCAAAGTTTCATATCTAACTGATGAATGTCGCTCTGGTGCAAATTCTGTGTGATCTTTTCAGCGGTTGATAAGTTCTAAAAATAGCTCGTTTACTTTGCCACTTTATTATTCATTTCTCCTGATATTATAAGCAGTCTCCAATGGGTACAAATTCGTTGTACTGGTGTCGGCAAATATAAGTCTGAGGTCAGTTATGAAGTGCCCGCATTAGTGGAAACTAGCAAGCCAATTAATAGTTTCGTATAGCACACTGTTGCGAAAGGTCACCTCAGAATATGGGAAAGCAAAACCACTACTGTCCGAAATGGAAATAAACAAATGCTGTCCACTCGTTCACCACATGCTGTATCTTTCTTCTTGAGAAGGCACAGTGTTATTCTGTGTTGATGACACTGGGTAATTCCCGTCAATGGTCAGCCTACAAGAAAGCACCTTGGTAATATTTTGCTTTTTTGACAGCCTTCTAGTTTAGCTGGTTATAGCTCCAGAGTTAAAACCAAAGTCTCGGAGGTCCGTTGGCAGTTCTTTAGATCTTTTAAGACTTCATCCTAACAGAAGAAGCAAACGACAGTCAGATTAGTTGTAACAACTAACCAACAGTCTAGCCAATGTTCCTGATTCTGGATTTCATCCTGATGTCATTATGACATGATCGGATCAAGGACACTTAGTTCCTCACAAGGACGCGAAAGTACTCACTGGATGAAACTTGGGATAGAATCTCATAGTTGTCGAAATCGGGTAATCTTAATTAGAATGTGTGATTCTTGAACTGGACAGCTGGAAAATGTGAAACAGTTAGATTGTCTGTCATAGCCAATAGGCAATTCTCACCAAAAAAATCAAAATTCCAAAACTATGCGCTTGGAATGCAATTAGACATTTAAAATGTGTTCCTTATGTTATCTTTCTTTGTTTCAGAGGAATATGACTAACCAAAAAATGATAACTTACACACGAGAGGTAATATGAAAACACATCTGCCCTACTGAGCTTTAGATGATGGACAAAATTTTCGTTTTACAAGAGGCAAATTGATGATAACAGTGCTGTTTTTTTGGTTGGCTCAAGTTTTCAAAATTGATAGAAAGATCAGTTTGAACATAAGCAACAGTACAAAATATGATGTAAAGATTGTTGCGAAAACACGATTATCGTGCCATGTCAGTTTGGAGACCTGGCGTTATCGTTGAGCACAGACACCAGAATCCGCCTTACTTGCTTGTTCCGTAGTCGTTAGCTGAATTTTGCCACCTCACCAATACTAAGTGTGATTCCACACAAAACCAATCCTTATTACCGAAGATAGAAATATCAGACACGTGCACCGACGTCCTCGGTAGAGTTTGCGTCCTGTGAGTAGAATCAATCTACGCTGAAAGCTGCACACAACTGTTTCGTCCTTATTCGGAAACATTACGGTGCGTGTCTCACAAATCTCCAAGGTGATTAAAGCTGGCGAACCCCCGGCTGCTAGTTGAGCGCGGAGTCTGTCGACCGCAAGCGATTGTACTCAAGCGTAATTTATTGACACTTGGGGAGGATATAAGGCCACTTATCCTTCAGACAAGGGATCCACAACACGTGGCCACGCACTGACTGGCTTCTCAAGTGGCGGCTTCTCTAACGGAAGGTAACCTCGTCCCGTGAATTTTTCTCCCTTCTGAGCCGCTTACGAGCTGTTGATAGTATTGGAAAATCTGAGAAGTTTTTAATCATGACTTTGTCTGTAAGATAAGTCAATCTATAACGGGAAGGCAGAGACCACTGTATGGGTGTTTTGTCATTATCGGAGTTCATCAGTAAGACGTATGAATGGCACATATCCTAAGTGCGCGCTAATTACACTGCTGATCAGCTGCTCGTGGCTGAACAGTTCGGTCTTCAACTAATACCGGGAAAGTCGTGGGTGTGGAGCATCCTTGAGATTCGTGAAATGTGCGGAATTAAACATATGCCTAGTGCTTCTCCGCTGTTCCCTACAGATTGCCTTTACGTGCAAAAAATCTCCACTGAGAATTGTAAAATCTCTTCATATTCTCAGCAAATCGATTCACGAAATATGGACTGATGTTCAGCAATCTTTAACTAGAAATCTGACGGCTGTGCAACATTGGACGCGAAATTCAATAATTCACGGTTACTTCCGACTCATTTTGAGCTTACCATTTGCTGATTGGCGGCCTGTTTCTCAGTATGATACTCCCCTAAGTCGAGAATATTTGCGATTACAGGTGAACCCACGAAGTTATCGTCTCGCTAATCCATTTCGATGGTCAAAAAATGTCTGTATTGTTTACATAGGAAGTTCAATCGATTCTTGTCTTTACTGTTATATACTGTTTGGACTTGGCAGCAGACGAACGGCGAACGGATTGCATGTGACTTTAGAAGTAAATCCGTGACTTTCAACTAGTGGTCACGTGGGTTTGCGCACAGTAAGAATGAACAACATCAGTAGGGTGCTTAAATCAGAGAAATTAAATCAGAAAATCGGAAAATGGGATATCGCCGCCTGGTTTACCAGCGAATGTTGACGATTTTTAATCTACCTAGTACGTGCACATGTTCACTGAGGTCTTATCTGAATCACCAACCAGGCAGTTGGTACCTCCGAATCAGACGGAATCAAGTACGGTTGTCTACATTCCACTAATATTAAACTCAGATATTGGGTATATCAACCAAACAGTTAAAGTCACACAAAAATATGACCGCTTGTGCATTATGAAGTTATAAACGTTTCACGCATCTTGGGATTGTTAGCGCCAGTTGTTGCTACATGGAAATTTTAATAGGAATATCTTGGGCAACCTGGATAGAAACAACGCACCTTCAGCCCAAAGCTTGGTGATGCAAAGCTGTACGTCTTCCAGGCCATCAAAAGGGTCTGTGTGGAAGTGTTTGCACTATATTTTATTTGGCTGTTGCATTTCAGCTGATGAAAATAGATAATCTCGCTCGAAAAATTAAGGGGGGGATTACTCTAATTCTTCACCTGGTTAGTGGAAGACCTCAACAGTCGAAAGCAGCCACCACGAAGTCTGCCGTAAGACAGACACATGTGGTCAGACTACAGCTGATCAACATACAAGTTGGTGACTTGTTCTATGAGCTTCGCAAATGTCTTACAAGCGTTCCGTAATCGTTCGTTATCAGGGCATTCCTAGGTAATTATTTCATTCTCGTGTACTAACTATATAAGCGCGAGCATAAAAGGAAAAGTTCATCAAACAGTGCACTGAATGGTGACGAAAGGTTTGTAGATCATTTTTTAAGCTCGGCGAGCAACCAGAACTATCCGAATTCCAGACCGTTGCAAAAGTCGGGAGACTGACTGTTTGTCCACCGGTAAAATGTGTTCGACGTCGGATGGACAACTTTGATAATGTCCACACAAACAAGGAGGATTTTAAGGAACGCGGAAACGCTGTGGTATACCGTATGCTAATTCAACGTTTATAATATGACTTGGGATTTTCCGGGGTTCCTAGTGTATCGTGGTCATTCCCTTTTCAAGAGCTTCACACGTGAACTAGTTCAAACATCTGTAATGAATTCAACAAGACTGTAGTCAAACAGCTTCAGTGTTGTGTGTGGCGGTACAGTGCTCAGGATTGGGCAGGGTTTTTGAACAGAGTTTCTATTGCACAGATTTTCGGTCACCTCGGGTAAGCTTCATCAGGAATGAACTAATTGAAACCACGAAAACAAGACATGATGTGCTCATCGTTGTCAAAACTGAAGCATTCAATATTCTATGAGCTACTCTGCACGTGGCTTGGGTGAAGAATGAAGATCCTGCATGTGCATAGGAGTATTCTTCCGGGATCCGCAGGTTAAAGAATTATCTGAATGTCCAACACATGCCCGGTGGAGGTACGTACGTATGTGATCATGTGTAGAAGACTTTGTTGATATGCTACTTTCTCCATCACCATGTGCAATTTAAACAAGAGCCTGGCAGACGCATAGTTGAATTCCTAGATTATCTTATCGAGTTCAACGATCGACAACGTTTTGGTATGCCGGAAACCGGCTTGTGATCTTACTAGTACGAAAGAAACAGTGGAAAGTCGTCGATAAACGAATCAAGTAAGGTTTCCCCGGACGATGGGGATGGACACAATCACAGCCTACCACAGACTCGGACGGTACCTCACTTCTTTCATAAAAAAATTGCGAAGTGAAAAAATACAAGACTATTTAAAAACGTACAAAGTATGCGAACGACTGGACTGACATCGTATAGGAACGATACTTCTAAGAAGGCACAAACGATCCTATCACAGTTCAATGTAGGACAACAGTAGAAAAAGGCATTCTGTGCAACAGAGTAGAGTCCAAGTGAATTATCAATATCATTGTGCTCACAAATACTCTGTGGGAAGGGGTTGGGAAGCCAGGATAAACTACCAGACACTACTACGCGTACAAATCGCCCAATAGAAACCGAATCAAACCTTTGTATAATAGGCTGTCGCTCTGCTCTATAAACTCGCACCCTATTACAATCACATGGTTCATTTGCTCAAGCCAGAAATACCTCAATTAGCGGAACGCTGCTAGGCAAAAAATCTAACTGTTCATTCTGAACCAGCATGTGCCAACAGAACCGACAGTCAATAACTATCTTGCTTCTGCAGAGGACTGACTAACAGGGAAACACAATAAAACAAGCGATTGGAGCTCTCCAACCTCCACACAAAACATGATTAAGCATAAACCTGACTAGTCATATCTGTGTGTAGAATGCTGAGTGTTTCAGTGTTGACATCGACTACAAAACATATGAGCTACGCTCAGATATATTCAACCCCTTGCCATCTACTATACTAGCGCCGTTTACCAAAGCAATACATGCTGAACAAATTCTTATGTGGCATTCAGTGTATGGGCAGGAAGGACTACGGTAATGCAGAACCAAAAACAGACCCGGAACACTTACATTAACCAATGTTGCCAGTGACCCAACGTATTCCTTCTCAACTTTAATCAGTTCTTTCATTATGTGATAACGTTTGTTCTAAAAAGGGAAAAAGAAGAAACCGCGACATTAATTTGGAATTCTCAAAAGCAAGTGTTTTCATTTCAAATGTCGCAGAAAATCCGATCAGTGGAACTCTGATGGTGGAGTGCACAACTGGAACAACACGTGATCAAAGTACAAGGTCACTCATGTTTTTTCTTTCACAACTCCACTTTTGAGCTGATATAACTATGTGACTAGGACGCCAACTTACTGAGAGCAAAGTCCATGGTTCGAACCCAACCCTGATATCTCAACTGCTTATGTCTAGTTTGGGGCAACCTGATAGTTCCTCAACCCTCGTATATCCTTTAAGTGAAACGGTAGCTTTACATCAAAGGTTTGTTACAGCTGAACGACCAAACTCCATCTGATATGTGACCACCTTGCCATAAGCAGATGATGGACCCATCAAAAATCACACAAGGAACACGTGCGGTACAGAAGCAAAAAAGAGGAAAAGAGGAGAAAACGGTCACAGCAAAATTAAAAACAGCGCATATTAGGTGTTCTGGCGATCTCAAGTGGAAATTCTGATGAATCGTTATGTGCTTTGTGTGCGTGAAGGAAATATTGTATTTGGCTTCCACATTGGTATTTCAAAATCACCACAGTTTCAATTTTGAAATCTTGTTCGCCTTCGGAATACTAAGAAATGCCGGACAGAAATCAGGTCTCTACCTTGGCGGGTCAAATACTACCATATTAATAATGAGTAAAGCGTTCGGAACAGCATTTGCAGTTAAGCAATAAGAACCAAGTGACAGTGGTAAGTATAGCTGTTTTTACATGTATGAATCATCAACCAGCCAGTACCGCTAACTCACGCATTTTGCAAGTTAGAAAGACCTCCAGTTCAGGTGAGATTTTACCTACCCAAATAGTGTCTGTTGCTAGTTTGGACATCAGAAGCTTACACAAAGCGGTAAGAATTTCGAATAATGAGAAGTCGAGAAATTGCTTGTACTGATCTCAGCCGTTTCATTTATGGAACACATTTAACTTGAATTCAGTCTGTAAAGAAGGTCCGTCATCACCAGTGGTCACCTCATTGAGTCACCATCACAAAGATACTGGGTCATGCCGTGGTGTGATGGCTTGTGCCTCTTGACAACCCCTTGAGCTATACTTGCCATGTTGGTGAATGATAGAGGTCTGACTAGCACATTTTTCTGGGCCTCCAGATTAACGTTGTAACATGTGTAATGACTTACTGTCTAAAAACGTAGGCTGCTCTGACACCAACCACCGCTACCTTGCTGGTAAGCCAAAAGCTTTGGCTGAGAACACCAATCGTCCTATAGTCTAGGTCTGGACGCTCTGGTCGTATCTCAGCTTGCTTACAATGATAAATTAGACACTTACAATAATATCATGCCTCCCTAAGATGTTCGTCCGCCTTCCTTTCCCCACCCCATTTCTAGCGAACCTACGACAGTGCAGTACCTGTGTTTTCATATGGTGTTTCTGTCAAGGATGATGATGACGATGATGATTGTTCAACCAGGTGTGAACCTATTACAGGAATATCATTTTGGATGCAACGGATTTCATTCTTGAAGTGCTTGTTCAAGCTAGCAAGTTAGCTCACAAAGTGCACAAGCTAGCACTGGTGACAGGGTTCCTGTTACCACGAGGAGACAGAAGGGCAGGATGCAGAAACAAGATAACGCTTTTCATATCATCATCATCCGATTAGTGAAGGCCTTGAGCTTGCTTGATATCTACTGATTTGGGTCACAAGGTATACTAACATAGCGAGTGTACATTATGCAGGAGTCTATGCATCAAAAAAAGAGCTGGTAGTCGTTCTTGAATACGAATTGCAAGGCAGGTCGTCTAATCACATGCATATCCGTTAGGTGTCTATGATAGTTTTATGGCAAAACGGTAAGAAAATGTGGCCATAATTTCACTTAAAGTCCTGGCATCTTAGGGTAGGTTTGAAATCCGGCTTCAGGTGTTTCTGCGCCAGTGGATCAGAGCTTTAATTTTGTATGTTTTGGGATCGATTTCCGTGCTAACATAGGTCCATTCGGATTGATCCACTATGCTTGGAGTTGTGGGAAAAACGTGGGTGTTCCTGCACTTTTTACCACAAAATATACTTTTGCTAACTGGAATTAATATTTTTGGTTGAACAACACTGAAAAATAGTTCATGCGCTGAATGCCGCAAAAGATTCAGAATTAGTTGTTGCAATATGCGCACATATTTAACAAGTACGACTTCCTTTTGAGTGTAATTAAACCATTCAAGCGGTTTCATTTCTTTTGGCAGCAGAAAGAAACACGGAAAACTGGTTTCAATATGGCTGAGTAACGCTGATTCCAAGACCCAAGTGGTGCTCTATCTACTCTCTTGTAGTAATTCTCCGAAAGAATAGAATTAAGGAGAAGTAAATCATTTGTTACCTATCAAAATAAATGCCAACTTTACGAGAAAAAAGGACATCTTTTAATTCATTTAGACCTACCAGCGCTAAACGCCAAATAGTGCGTCATGATCACTACAACCGAAAAAATTATTAAGCATACAACTGCATATGCATAAATCTAGAGCTGTAATCACTACGCATCAATCTTGTCATCCATTTCAGAGGGCGAGAGAGAGATTGCGTCACACACTATTAAACCCTGTGAACAGAGAGGACGTAGGAGACGATCCTTCTCCCTCGACTACTCCTCCCAAGACCCAACACATCCTCTTGTCGAGAAATTTTGACAATAGTTGAATGAAGCAAGAATGAACGAGCCTGTTCACACCAGTGAACCACAACAGACAACAAGCCAACATGCAAACGACTGCGAAATTTCTCACTTGTCCATTATTTATGTGGACCTCAAGCGAATTGAGGTTGTAGGCAATGACCTTTATCATGATGCCTTAATACAGCATTCCCGAGACTTCGTTTATTGCACATGAAAAAGGTCAGTGTCTTAGTTACGTCAAGCACCTACGCAGCATAAATTCATTACGGTGCTGGTTGATCCGTAGCGTATGGATATTAAGAGGCTTATTTTTTTCTACCTCTCGAATGCAAGTACGGGTGCATTTGGCAAGTGAACGAATTTCCCGTGAAACTCGGTGCGCCGCAACCATTTAACCAGGTGCGAAAGTCAGTATAACTGAACCACACCGGTTGGATTTGGCAAACGCATTTGGCAAGTGAACGAATTTCCCGTGAACCTCGGTGCGCCGCAACCATTTAACAAGGTGCGGAAGTCAGTATAACTAAACCACACAGGTCGGATTTGACAAACTTTTATTGCTGTCGAAATAAACCTTCGCATCAGACAAACGTTTCTGTTAACCAAGAGACAAAATGCGTACTCTCTATCGTGTTCTCTGTTAGGAACGTTTAATCAGCTCCAAAGAGGCGACAAGTTAAAGTGTTCGGATAATTCGGTCCGCACAGTATAACTGCTGCGCATTGGCAGACAGTATTTGCTTGCGTCACTTTCATGCCCTCAATATCTACAGTCTAGAGGGTGAAAAGCTCCGATTCACTTTGACAGTTTTTGGCCAAAAACTAGAACTCACTCCTTCTTTAAATGTTAGTACAACTTTATTTCATTCCGTGGTTTTTGTCGTTTGAAATGCAATAACTTTTTTCACTGGGCGGAAGCACTGATACTGGGGGGTTGGATTAAGCCTCCAACGATCCATGATGCACAGCCCGAGATACGAAATATTCTCTATGCAGCAATACTCTGTATCGAGAGGTGAGTCAACGTTCCAGTAAGTTTTAGATTTCAAATACCGGAGGTCAAGCCCAATCAATCAAGAGGGAGAGATACATTAGAAATAAGGATTTTGCCGACTGTCTTCTCAACCCCATCAGTCCGTAACCTGCCATTGTGGAATATCAAATCAGCGATTTCGATGGGACTGACGGCGCCAAGCAGCAAGCCGCCAAAGACAGCCAATGTGAACAGGACACCGACGAGACATCGTTGGCATTGCAGCGAACTGAAACCAACAGATCAATTACATAACTGTTTTCCCTTGCTTCTGTCTTGTACTCAAGGGAAATCTCAGTTTTTAAATCAGAAATTAGCAAGTAGATGTGCAGGAACCAGCAGCAGGGGACCAGAATTCTTGCATGACCTGTTGTCGGCGAGATACCCAACACGGTGAATGTTACTTTGCTGCGTAACTTGTGGATGCTGGACATTTACACATGTAAGTGTATTCGATACAAGTTCAGCTGTCAGCAGCGGTTGGACCACAGAACACCTGAAAACATATCTATACGAACATAAATAGTCTGAGTCGAGATTTTGCCCCGTGAGCTAATTTGACTCATGTGCAAAGCCCGAGAGACAGTTTATAGCTTTTATCGGGAATCATTGGCTGTGCGCGATCATCGGATAATTATGGGGATTCGAACTTGCAACCGTGCTCAACCTTGAGCAGTTTTTTAGCAGTGTTCAGGTCGTATTCACGACCAAACGTTTGATTACTCGATTACTACCCGGAAATACGAGGCCCCTAGAGATTTGTGAGGTTCATAGTGCTGATGATTCGTACTAAGGATGAAACAGTTGCGAAGTGCCTCTCGGATTTACGGCATAGATTAGTTACTTTTGTGGAACATAAGGTTGAGGAAACCCGGGGGCTGAGTCTACCTGATGAGCCCCAAAGAGGGCGAAACCGGTCGTGGGCTGTCGACGGATTTTCAGCAACCTCATGAGTGGTACATTACAAAGATATTTGTAGAATGAAATTTCGAGTCAGATCCTTTGTGTTTTCATAAGCATGCGCAGGCGGCCAGTATTCTAACCACTAATGACGGTCAAAGCCGCAGAATACAGATAAGATATTTGCATATACCGCTTCACATTCCAGTTCAAGTAGATATATCCCTACGCCACTTGTTTCTTGAACAAAATACAATTGCCATCATAGAAGTAGGTGAATGCTAGCAATCATCGAACCGTCACAAGGGTTGGCCACGACACACAATCATCCATTACTTTACAAATATAAAATGCTGCTATTGGAGAAAGTACGAAACGATTACATGAATTTGTAGCGAGTCGGACAACTGTAGGTCTT